TAAATACAAAAAATTAATTTTAAATATACAGATGTAAGAAATGCTGCAAATTTATAATATGATATATATTGTATCTTCTGACTTTAATATATAAATACATGTATTTTTTTGTATTTCAATGAGTTTATATTGTTATTTTTATACTTGTAAGTCAAATCAACTGTTGAATATAATCTACCTATATAGGGACGATAAAGGATTGATAATAATACCTTCTTATAAAAAGTCAGTAATTTAATTCTTGAACACCTGTACAAAAAGATACTAATGCGATATTAATATTTACATGTAAATATGAATCTCACGGAAAATATTGTTTCAAATAAGGTTATATCAAAATGTGTAAATTACAATGTGTATACAAGTCTAACACGTTGTTTACAGGAAAAAAATCGAACTATACAAGTGCAAAGTTCATAAAGTAATCTTTATCTATATCATTTTATGATTATTGTACTAAATCACATGCCATTTGAATGTATGGACGCATTTTGTTTTCTTACTGATAGCCACAATAAAGTAATATGTACGTTGAAGTATATAAAATCAATCTACCATAAAATACTGCTTTCAGGTACAAGCTACTGAAATAATATTGCTCTTACAGTAGCAAATAAATAATACAGGACTCAATATTATCACGAAGAATATCTATATTGAAAATAATGAAATATTGTTTTACACACATACAAGTCATTCTTAGCATATAAAGAAATATATTTTTTAAAGTTTTACATGTATGTACCTTATTTTTTTATGTATCTATTTAGTTTTTTTTTATATTTCTGTTGCGTGTTTATGTTTCTATTTTTAATCAAATGTATCAAATAAAAAAAAAAAAAGAATACGTAATTATATTATGTGATATATTTTACATCACGTTAATATATGTTTTTACATATAGATTATATATATCATACAAAATATATAATTTTTTCTCTTTCTCTCAACATTAAGATAAAAATATTATAATATGGCAAATGTTAAAATAAAATATATATAATTTTTACAATGTTGCAAAGAGATATACTCCTCGTAAGAAGATTAATATTCTTCGTAATATTGAGTCCAACAAATGTGTCTCACATTTCGATAATTAACTGAAGTGCACCTATACAATAATCGAGCCAGGAAAATTTTTCTCTGTCTCAGATTTATAAGTTTACCTTCCTCTTTTTCTTGTGCTTTTTATGTTGTTGACCATACAATTGCTTCCGACTAGCCTGTGTGTTGTGATCTGTCATATGACAAGATTTGGAGGAGTATTTTGAAGTAAGGGGGCTGTTCTCAATTTCTTGTTCAGACTGAACCAAATTGACAGGCTTGGTTATGGAATTGTTTGCAAACTCTGTATTCTTGAAGTATTCTTTGTATTTTAATGTGGTTATCAGAGTCTGAGACGCTAGAGGAGGCTGCATTCCAGATATATTATTATCTAACTGTTTATAGATCGCAAGTGAAAACGGCAATTTATCAAATAATGACAAATAAAAACATTGATGCAAATTTGGAAAATTGCCGTTCTAATAATTTTCTACAAAATCTCGTGATTGGAATATAGTGATTATGCACAGAAGTATACTTTTAAATTATTTTCCAAATAAGACAAAAATCGTAAAACACGACTTACTATTTCAACGAAGCAATTTTCCAATCACGATTTCATAGATAAAAGATTTTTTTACCTGTACCACTGTGTGTACATACACAAGTATAATGATAGTACTAGTTTATTGCAATACATAGATGATGTTAAAATTGATAACTTAATATTCCTCATTATCCTCATTATCGGTATTTACTCATGTATTATATGATCGATGATAAGACTAATACAATTTATGTATAGTTTTATAATATCAGAGAATTTATCAATTTTTGCAACATCTATATACGCAGTTATTTGATTGCTGAGTTATCATACACATAAAAGAACAACAAATCACAATTATATGACTGTTCGTTAGTAATTATCGAGATTTCTCGTGATTAGTGAAATATCATATCAGTGTCTTGCAGCATTGCATGATATTTCATGCTTTTAATAGAGGATAAAATTCTTTGTTATTATGAATATAGCAGAAGCTGTATAGTATTTCCAGTAAAAGAGAAGGCACTGTATAAGTAAGAATCAAATCAACCTTTATGCTAATAGATACTAACCTCGGATTGTAGAGAATCTGATGTGGGTGGGCCATTCAGCATAGACTGTTCTGAGCTGCTACAACCACCGCAAATCTCATTCTGTAATCAACAGAGCAATATTTTCTATATTTCATTATACAATCGTACGCGCGCATGTGTATCGCTGCGACAAGAGGAATTTTTGAACGACACAACAGATGCAAGTACCTTGAGTTGGGAGACTTCCTGTTGAAGTTGAGTGACAAGACTCTTTTCTTGTATTAAACTCGCTTCACTAGTTTCAACAAGGGAGCGCAATTTTGTAACTTCGGCATCCAACGTTGCCCTTTTGTTGCACTCTGTTTGCAGTTCTTGCGACAAACGGGCTTTTTCCTGAAATAACAACAAAGAAAAATAAGAAAAAGATTTAAGTAAAATAGTTATAAGATTATTTACATCACTGATATCTGACAAATTTGTTTTATATCATATAAATATCTAAATACACAAGTTTTACATAATTAAAATATATGGAATAAAAATCTCATATAGTAATGTCTTTTACTTCTTGTAGTTTTTCTAAAGTAGCAAGCTGATAACCGTCGATTTCTCCTCTAGAAACTGTTTTTTGCGCAGATCGAAGTGCTGATAATTCAGCAATAGTCTGTTCTGTAAGAGATTCAGCATTGGCTAATCTGGTTTCTAACTCAATTGCCTTCTGCTGAAGCTAGAAATAAAACAAAAGCCGTGTGAGAAGAAAGATAAATATTCTTATATTAATTGAAGAACTACTTTTATTTTTTTTTTTTAATAAATATTATCGTTATTTACTTTCTCGCTTGCGTTTAGTTTGGTTTGGATGTCTTTAAGTTCTGTTCTAAGACTTGCCACTTCGTTCTCCTTTTGTCGAAGTAGAACCTGCCATCTTGTTTCCTCGGATTCTACGTGACTTTGTAGTTTACTAAGCATACCTTCCTAAAAAGAAAGTGACATTTTGAATAAATTATTTATTTTTAATGATTGTAGAAAATTTAGCAGAGAACTCACCGTTTCTTTGACAACCTGCTGGTAACGCGAAACCACGTCTTGTAAGTTTTTATTTTGCTTTTCTAAATCTGAATTTTCGTGAGTTGTGCTCTTCTGTTTTAATTCATTTAGAACAGTGCATACTTTATATTCAAAAGTTTTGAGCCACTGTTCATGAGTCTTTTCAGATACTTTAATTTCCGGAAATATCCTCTGTAGAAGAGCCTTGGTTATTTCCTCTTGTTCTACTTTGACTTCTTGCATAATTTCCTAGTTAAATAAAGCAGACAAAATATTTTAGGAATATTTTATATATTATTTCAAATACATATTAAAGAATATTTAACAAAGAATAAATTCATTGTGATAGAATTGTCGTCATGATTATTGTTAATTTAGATAATGAGAGACCAATAAAATTTAATTTTTTAATAGACCTGTAAACAATAAAATGTAACAATATAAAATATAATAGTAAAATATAACAATAAAATATAAAGGTGTTTATTTAAATTAAGATTAAACTTTTAATTGAACACTGATTAAAGAAGGCAGCGATATAATCCTGATTAAATATAAAGTATCATAGAGTATCATCGTATATATCAATTGTAGTAATATTTTTTTCTATGTTCTTAATATTCTTGTAATACAAATTCCAATAGAGTGAAATAAAAACTTACTCCACTACTCTTTCCACCACTAGATTTAGCACGCGATTCAGCAGCAGAAAGAGCTTCCATCACTTTCCAGTTCTTTGTGCGTAACTCCTGTTGCACAAAATATGAAGCAATGATAGTAAATGAGAATAAGTTCCGTTTTATTTTTACAAAATATAATATATATGGAACAACGTGACAATGACCGAGAATATTTGTATGAAAGGAGAAATTGGTAAAGTGATGGAAGTAATAAGAACATACTAATATTACATGAAAATGGTAAGAAAATTTAGATACATTGAAAAAATATAGTTGAGGCAAAATATATTGACAAAAAAAAGTTTAGACAAACAAAAAGCTTACATTATTTTTGGATTTCTGAATTTCCAAGTCATCTCGTAGTTGCCTAGTAAGAACACTGTGTTCACTTATGTCATTTTTTAACACAATCAATTGTTCGTTTAACCTATTAAGCTCTTCATCTTTGTGTATTAGTTGGATCTTTAATTCATCTAGTAGAGCTTTCTCCGTAGTGGATCTATACAGAACAAATTTTTTTACGAAAATCAATAAATTACCGCATATATCGACAGATAATCTCTTATTATATTAAAAAATAAGAGTTACAGAAAATAAACAATTTTTACGTACGGATGAAAATTAGCATAATCCAAAGATCCAAGAGTGTTCTTTTGGATTTCGTCTTCCATATTCTCACGTCCTTCCGCAGCCGGACGTTCGAGTCTAGTTACAGCTAATATATTCGTAGGTATGTTATCTTGTCCACGTTCCTGTATTTTTTGCTGTTCCACGACACTTGTAAGCTACACATATGTATAAAACATATATGTATATAAAAGTCATAAAAAATGTAACAATTACTAAAAAATATCGTCATTTATAAATTAGAAATACCTCAGCACGTAATCTATCGTTTTCTTCTTGAAGTTTCGTGATTTGCAATTGAGCCTCTCCTATTTGTTTCTCGTTGTTTCGTAATCTGCTGTTCTCAATTTCTAAGACTTTCAATTCACTCAGAGCTTCTTTCAGGTCTTCAATCATAGCATGAGCCTTAGCCAAATCCGTTTGTACGGTCTTATGCACATCATGCACTCTTTGTACCTCATTCTGATACTTGTTTGCATCGTTTATTGCTTCTTTTAAGTTACGCTCTGTTCTCTCGTATTCGATTTTTACTGTGTCTAATTCATTTTGAACAGAATTCAATTTAGATACCATGTGCATGACTTGTGCGTTTGTCTGCTGTAAGTTGTTTTGCACGATATTAAGTTCGTTTTGAGACTTCTTTAATTCATCCTCTTTGTTATTTAATGCGGTTTTCAGAGCTGTAACTTCGGCCGCTTCTGATTTCGCTTCGTTCAGCGTGACTGATAGTTCTGTCTTCAATTTTATTAATTCAGATTGAACCTTACTAAGTTCAGTTTTTAAAGCAGGGGTCTCATTAGCTTCGTTTTTCACGAGATTCAACTCAGCTTGTAACGAATTTACTTGTTTTTGCAATTCCTGTTCGTGACGATGTGCACTTTTTAATCTGTGATCCAAGTCTGCCTGCGCACGATGGGATTCCTGAAAATTATTCAAAAGATTTGAAATTGATACAAATAATCGATATTATAAACATTTGTTGACAGAAAAACAGATTAACGAAAAATTGTGCTTCTTACTTCTAGTTGTCTAGCGACATCTTGCAATGTGCCACTTGCTTCTTTGAGATGTTGTATCTGCCCTTCCGAGTGCATCAATTGGCCCTGCATTATTCCCAATTGCTGACGTAACAGCTCCATCTCTGCGCTACTACTTTCACAGGTTGCTTGGAGTTCATTTTGCAATTCTTGTACTTCTACATTCCTCTGAGCAAGCTGCGACTTCAACGTGTTTTCAGTATCACGCATTTGAGCAAACTGTACCTCCATTTGTTTTCGTTGGGCGATCAACTCCTGTTGCAGATGACCCTGAGTCTGTCCTTGTTCCTCTTGCATCTTATGAATAATGGCGGCGTCCTCGTTTACTTTAGTCTGCAATTGTTCGATTTGTCTGGCGAAACCCTGCTTCTCGGCAGCGTGACTCTCCAGAATGTGTTGCATCCGTGTGTGTAAAGTTTGAGTTTCTGTCATTTTAGCGCTTAATGTCTCCTCAAGTTGTCTAGTATTAGCTGAAAACCTGGATCGCTCTCCATTCAATTCGGCTCGTAATTCCTTTAATTTATTTTGGAAAGCTATGCTGGCTTCATGTTCATCAGTTAATGCTTTTTCCTTTTCCGCCAATTGTTTTTTTAACTTAATGACAGGATCAGCACGACCTTCTGTCCATTCAGAATGTTCTAACGGGTTGTCCATTTGCTTATTCAAAAGATGGTCAATAAGAATCTGTATCTCAGATCGACTAAGTTCTGCTTTCTGGATAAACAGCATCAAAAGCTGAACATTGACAGCATCTCCCTCTAAAAAAAAAAAAGAAAAAAAAAGAAAAAAAAAAAAAGAAACAAATGTATTAATATCAAACATTGAAATCAGATTTCCTTAATTTATATATATAATTATTATTAAAAAATACTATTTATTGTCATAAATTAAGAATAAAATAGATGAGTCTTAAAAACTAATTAAAATATATATTTATGTAAACGTATATATCTTTGCATATAAAAATATAATTTAAATATTTATAATTATAAACTAAAAAATTAATATATTATCTTTAAATTACTTCGATTATATATATTTTTTTCACAAATACACCATAAGTATTAAGTTGTTGATTATATTGCAAGACTCTTGGTATCAAGTATATGGACATTGACCCTTGAAAAAGGAAGGGGAAATGATCCTACCTCAACCACATTCCAAAGTACTTGAAAAGAATCTGCTTGGCTTTGCTTTGAACGGATTATTCACATAATTTAACAGAATTTTATCGGACATTTTAACTTAATAAAATATTTTATTGTATAATAAAATATTTTATATTTATAAAATTCATATATATAATCAAGCAACTTTCTAATGTTAAGTGTGACAATTGTTATTTCTCTATCAATTTCTTTTGTAGTACAATGTACATAACTTGAGTACAACGTACTCTGTTAACTTAAAAATATATCAATATCTTAAATATAAATAAAAATATAATATATTTAGAAACATATAAATGCGTGTGAATATAATTATTAAATAACAATCTAAGCTGCAAAAATAAGAAATTACAAATTACTTACAGACTAAAGAAGTCTTACCAATCTGAGCTAAAATGTCATTCTTTTTCTTCGTTTTTTTAGACTCCTTATTTGCAGACTGCACAATAGGTGCAGTTTCTTTAACAGCTTCTTTTATCTCTTTAACTGGCGTTTCCTTCTGTTGCTCTTTTATTTCCTTCACGGTTTCTTTATTAGCGAACGATGCATTAGTTTGAGTATTAACCTCTTGCTTCTCGTCTTTAGCATTTTCATCTTTCTTTTTTACGACGTCTTTATTGTTCTTCTTTGATTTAGTTGGTGTATCTTTTGGCGACTTGTTTGCCGCAGTTTCTGGTTGACTAAGCTGTTGAAGATTTTCTCTCTGTGTAGAACAAATTTATTTATTATAATGCATTATATCTAGAATTTGTTACTAAATAATAAATTTTAGAACAAAAACATTTTAAAATATCACATAATTATATGTAGAATCAGTAACCATATGAAAACATTACCAACTAAATTTTTATTAATATTTCCAGTGTAATTGTTAATATTTAATGAATTTTATAATTGCTAATGAATCAAAATATGGTTTTCGTTAATTATGAATATAATAAAAAATAATAAACATTAATAAGTTAATAGATACGTATATATTGCCATGCATCAATAATTCTACAAAATGAGATATAAGAGAAAAGTTAATAATATAAATAAATAGCCGGGGAACTGTAATTATAGCAGTTTTAAGATATATTAATTAGTGTAGCTAAGAAAGTTAGTTTATGTTTATATCACCCTTATACCCACGAAATTATAATGTGAAATGAAAAGAACAAAAAGATATGTGAGACATTCTACATATAGCAATCACTCACACTGTGACTTCGTACGAGTTCAAGGTCATCTTTTGGATGAATAATGTCAAAATGATTAGCTTCTGCCAAAGGAAGTTGTGAAGGACTTAATTCAGTCACAATGGTCGATGGCTCGTCTTTATTTATGAGGATTGGTTTGATCTTTTCAAACTTTCCTTTCTTTTTATTTCCCTTGTTACTCTCCTAAGAGTTTAATGCAGGGGTATATAATCTTTCTATATTACTTGCCTAAGCAATATTATCAAATATTAAGCAACATGCTTAAAATGTTACATCATATAATAATGGACACATATATAATTTAATGGATTACATTATAATATTATATTCTCTAAATAATTTAATACAATGTATACATATACATGTGTATATATACATATACATAAATTAATATACACATATACACACATATATATAGTTTTTAAATTATTTTAGCATATATTTAAAGATATAAAAATTGCTATAATATTAATCATTAATAAACAATAAATTATTTATTAGTTTTAATCTTATCATTATGTTTGTACTTTGTTTCTTTGTTGAATACATAAACCTCGAATTTATGATTTTTTATCATTTTGCTGTTTTTGCAATATTTTTTCGTCTTAAGTAAAGTAATTTATTATAAAGACTTAAAAGACTTGTAAAAAATTTTCTTATTTATAACAATTACATTCAATTAAATATTTATAGTAAGTGTCCAACTCTGTCACAGTATTGAGAAAATCTTTTATGTCTGACTCTCTTGTAATCTATGTGATAAGATGGTTGAAAGAGTAAAGCAACATCATTGAAATGCTGTACAAAGTAGTTATTTTTAGCAAATAATCTTGCAGACTTTCAAAGATATATTTATCAGTGGTACACATATGCAAGAAATAATCCATTAGCAGTTTGAGAGAATCCAATTAAAATACATAATTAGCTCTCTCTTCAAATATAACTGATTCATATATATGTATATAAAATTATATTACAATTATTTTACCATATTGCTTTGTTCAATATTTTAATAAAATAAAATATATATTTAATATACGACTATATTATCACAATTATTTTCTTTTTCCTATATGTATCTTGATGCAATAATCTCTCACTTAATAAAGTATCTTTAGATAACTTGCAAAGATAATTTATATATACATATATATGTATATATATGCTACATTAAATTATTGAATACTAAATAAATTACGACATTCTTAATTAAAACATTATTTTTTTGGCTTAAAATGAAGTATAATATATACATATTTTATATATAACAGAAATAGTTGAAAATCGTAATCGAAGTAAACAGTTGATGGTAACCAAGGAAATGGCATCATGTAATGGCATGTAAAATGTCGGGAAAAATCTATATTAATTTAAAAAATATAAGATCAAATAAAATTTATTTGAAACTTATCTTTAAAAAAATCTAGAACTTACTATTTTTACATGAAAGTATACTATCATATTCTACAAAGATTCTTTTACTGTAAGAGAGAGTTGCTTAGTATAACGCCCATTATTATATGTGTATTGTATGTAAAAATTTATAATTGATGGTTACAGGTATTAATTTAACATTTTTACATGCAGTATATGACAATTTATAAATAAATTTATATATGAAAATTTATAAATTTTTTATAAAGTTGCTGATAAATGTGAAGGTTGGAAACTAATATCAAGTAGTAATAGCTATGGTATTTCTATGCAACTGTGCTTTATAGATTATATGACATGAAAGGAAAAATATGCTCTCTATGCATAAATCTCTTTCAATCCTATGCAATGATATACCATTATGTGTCACCTGGGTTATTACATTTCATGCACAAAAGATATAATGCTCTCAAATCTTATATATCTCACATCTTATATTCAAGATTGGCCTTATATGCAGTTTTTACTTTTATAGAAATAAAATTAAAATTCTGATATATATCTGAAGTGTATTAAAAGTACAAAAATTACACACTGGGTTAAAAAATATAGCAAACCTCTTTTTGGGATAATTTTATAAAAAAAGCAAAAATATTGCTACAATGTATTCTTATTCAATATGTTAAATATAAATAAAAAAATTCTAATCAAAATGTTGAGAAAAATATTTTCCTTTTTATATAAATTTACTTAAAAAATTGAGATGTGCAGACAAATTTTTTGCCTATTATAAATTAAAATAAATATACACATTTATACTTATTTTGAAACTAAAGTTATATAGAAGGTTACAAAAACTATACTATATATTTTTATGAATTGAAATTCATTGCAGGTTTTTTTTTTAATGAATGACAAGAAAATAAATTTATGAAATAAATTTACCTGTGCTGGAGGTTCTGGAGGCAGTATCTGCGGAATTTCCTCAAACTGTACATGTTCTGCCTTTTCATCTTTATCATCCTTATCATCTTTCTCTTCTTTCTTCTCTTTCACTTTTTTTCCTGCTTTATTCTTATGTTTCTTTTCTTTATTTTTATCCTTTTTACCTATAAGTAAAAAATCTATTAGACAATTAATATATAGATTTCTGCAGAATTGAATATATTAGCTCATATTTCATTAATGCTACTTACATTTACATTAGTAAATTTCTAACTTATATATCATAAAAACATTTTATTAACATATATATTGATATAGAAAGTTGAAAATTTCACTCTATAAACAAGATTGCACACCAACTAATTTACATACTTGATAACAAGTCATCAGGAAGTTTTCTCTGCTCAGCAATGGCTTCTTCATATGATTTCTCTTTTATTCCAAAAATCGACATAAATACGATCAACAATGCAGAAGCAACAACTACTCCAATATACACAAACCCTGTCTGAATATCCATCTTCGACTATTTTATCTGCAAGACAATTGAATGTAAATGTATTGTTTCAGGGTAAAAGTTGAAGTTCTCCCTATTAGCAGTTTTACAATATGTATCGGAAGAAAATTTTATATTCTATTTTCACAGGTAACTATAATTTTATATTAATATAGGTTAGTTTGAAAATATTTCCATAGTTCCAGAAATATATCTAACTTTAGAATTCTACTATTATTTGGAAGATGTGTTGGTCGTCATGAAGTTTAAATAATTATTGTGCAGAATGCAAAGACTCGATCAGTTTGTAGAAATTTCTACGAAACCGCCGCTAAGAAACGAGTCTCTCGAAATTCGGCGATGAATCTGCGCACGAGATATGTCCCGGTGGCGAGACGTTGCGACACCCTGTATACGTGTACAAGCCGAGAGAGAGAGATAGAGAGAGAGACACAGAGAGATAGCGGGACATATTAATGACGAGAACTGCTGGCATTCGTACAAAATATCGAGGTTCTGTGAAACAGGATGACATATGGATGACACTGCAGGTCAACGACACATATCACTATCATAGACCGGCGACGTGTACATCGGATCGGTCGGCAGAAATCGCTGAATCCGAGTGCCAACACGTTTAACGGTACGCACAGTTGAACGCGGCGACCGGCACGCCGTTCACTTTTTTCCCCCGGCGTAAGTTTTGTCCGCGCGCGCGACACCACTTACCGAGAACAACGTTCGCTATCGTCGTAGATTCCGTTCAGAAATGCAGCAATCGTGGATACGCAAAGCAGACACGCAATTCAACGCAGATCCGCGGCGTGCTGTGCGACTCGCTCGGACGCTCGCACGACTGTATCGCGAAGAAACGACCAGGCAGGGAACGAGAGCGTGAATTCCGCACACACACACGCGACGATCTCCCGAAGCACTATGGCCGCCGGATGTGAGGCGAGCTATACGTGAAGCTTCAAGCCACGCCTATTGGTGAGCAGGCACTTTTGATTGGTGAACAACCTTTGCCACGTATGCAAGACGTCGCACGACGACGGCACTCATCCGCGACGACTGTGCCCGGCTTCTCGTCGAGGTCGTATCAAACGGTGTGACGACTGCGACGATCACGACCGGGTTACGAACCGGCAAATGATGAATTTAATCTAACCTGGTCAACATCAAAACTGTTGTACTTTGCTCGCGCGCGGAATACCTACGTGCTTCGCGAAAGAGTCGATACCACACATTTGCGTGCCTCCACTCGCTTATACTCGCACGCTAAGTCGAGAAGACAAGACACTGTCGATGAGACCAACCTCACTGTCTTTTCAACACTGATTGGCTATTTCACACCATTGACTAGCAAGTTCGCAGATGGTTATCTCACAAACTATGAAGTGAGATAAATTTTACGTAAAACTCGAAGCGGAAGAGTGAATCTGATTGGTCCGCACCATTTGTTATCGAGATGTCGATGTATCGAATCGACGCACATCGACATTCGATAACAATATGGCGTGCATCTCGTATCTTATTCACATTCACTTGTTTTCGGCTTATACAGGTTATCTTTTCATTTTTCTCCACTTCTCATCTCCGTCGATTCGTTATATCATCGCGAATGTTGAACCTCGTTTTCGTCGTTAGTGCAGCGCTCGCATTTTATCTGATCCGTTTGGTGGAATTTCGAATATCCTTAACGCGCGGTAACAGTGATAGTTTTCCACTTTACGTTTGAATCCCTGGAGAACGTCTTGCCAGGCGCTGTCATCAGCCGTCATCTCCGTTGATGGATTCAAGATGGCCGCGGAGCACCGTAGCGGAGAACGTTTCAGCAGTCTCGGCAGGAAAACGTGATTTCTTTTTTTTTTACAGCCACAACAATACGCGCAACGCGTTGTCCGTGTGCTCTGGCATCGACGTTACCGAGGTCGCCCCCCTTCGTAGCCCTGCGTCGGCGCTGCGTAAGAAGAGCCGCGAAAAATGGCGTCCGGTGACATTAGCTGATTTCCGCGGGTAACTCCGATGTCAATGAGGAGGAGGAGGATGATTTCTCAAATTTTCCGACGTTCTCGCCCTTGACCGAAGTGAATTAACTGGCGGTGAGTATGGTCCGACTGTCGGTTTCACATTTCATGCAAGATTCGCGGTCACGACACAGCAATTCATCAGCCGTCACTGTGCCTGACAATTTATGTGTGCCTGACAATTTCTTACCTGCATGTAAATGCGCTCGTAAGATGAGGAAATTCGTGGAAATGTATCGGGCTCGAACATCCGCAGTGATCATTCGCACGCGTAACAGATTGTGTTTCATGAAACGCAGTGATCACGCTCTTGTAATCAAGTCATTCCAATAAGAATGCAGCTGCTCCAAGTTGCGTGTTATTCACAAAGTGTTTTTTTTTAATTAATAAATTTAATGCGCTAATATATATCGCTGTGGTTAGAATTATTCTTTCCCTTGTGATGAGAAGCGAAATGAAATAAAGTAATGTAAGACAATAAATATATACGGTGTAAAGAGACACAAGTCCTTGTGGATAGCATATTAAGTAACATTGCGCATAATATTATTAGAAGCAGCTGCTCATTGTAGTTGCAGTAGAATAGCAACACATACATCAACAGCTCACGGTGTATAATGTTTACAAATGATGCTCAATAATTGTCTTGCTAAGCTATAAAGTATATATTCTATGTAAAGACAAAACTATTATGTGTTGCGATATGAAATTTATGAGTTATGTGTTGCAATATGAAAATTTTTTTATTTCACTTAAAGTAATATTATCAATTTGTTCCAGTTAATCAGTGTATTCTTTTGAATTATAAATAACATAACAATAAGATAATTATAAATTATTTTAATTATTACATTTTTTAAAAGGTCCTTAAATTTCTAGAATTTATTTGGTCAATTAATTTGTATGTATTAATTTTTATATACTTGTCTCATGTGAGATATTCAAATTCTCATTCAGAGTTAGATCCAAATTTTTCAGTTAAATTATAATGTATGTGATATTTATATTTATAATTTAGTTGGAAAAACACATCTAACTTTGAATTAAAATCTGAGTATCTTACTTGAGACAAGTTTCAAATAACAATTGTTAATAATACAGCTATTGATACAAGCCTTAGGCCTGGTTGCATCAATCGAGTAAATTAACTAATAGTTAAATTATGTCTTGTTTTGTTTTTCCTTCAAAATAAACAAAGTTCAGATGTCTTAACTGTTAGTTAACTTACCATTCAATTGGTGCAAAAGTTATATAAATTATATAAATTTTAATTCTATTGTTTCTCTTTACAACCCTACTAGATCATCAATATGACTCCGCCGTTGAATCGAAAACGCGGCTCGTCTGTCAGCTTTACAAGAGCAAAAGACGATGGCGATGACGCCGAAGACGAGATTCACATATCTCTGGCACCATATATACAGACGTACCTGGCACACAGTAGTCAGGGATTGGGATGCTGTGGTATTAGTTTACCCGTGCCGTTCGAACGGGCAGCACCACGATCCTGGTGGAATCCGAGATTCGACTCGGAAATCCTCGAAGAACAGTATAGGAGAAGTGCCTTTCCTCAAATTAGATTAAGATTTCGGTTAGTATCAATGCATACACGCATGCGATCCTATTATAAAAACGATTAGTTGTTTGACTTGAAACATTTGCAATTGCTCGTTATTTCATGCAGGTACGCTCTCACATATATCTTGCTGGTGTCCTTATCTTGGTTGGCGTATTTTGTGATAATCGGAATCGAGAACAAAACATCGACGTGGCCTGCAATAGCAGCCGTTCTTAGTATCGTCGGCGTCATGATGGCGGCGGTGCTCTATTTAACATATACAGATTACTACAATTCCTACGTACTACCGACCTCTTTGGGAGTCGCGTTCATGCTTTGTTTCCTGTCCTTATTCTTCCTTGCCATGATACCGCCTTACGTGGATGGATTGACTTTGGTCGGACACTTCGCCCTGTGCTCAGAGATCTTATTAGTTATTTATACGGTGCTGCCGATGCCGCTCTATGTCTGCGTGGCGATATCCACGGTTTACTCATTCATGTTTGAGTTATTGACTGCCTATTTGTACGGCTCGAAAGACGCGAGAGAAAGATTCTATGGCAAACGAGTTGTACGAAATAACTTCTTAGAAAGAAACGCGACGGTAGAGCACGAGAAAACGATGGTACCTATGCACTCATCTCAAAAGGATTCTCTAACTATTGCTGGTCTACAGAATGTGATACGTAATATTAGTGATTTTACTACAGTTAGCACAGAGACAATATCGACGATGCACGAAGCGAGAAGTATGGGGCCGAGATCCTTGGAGCAGGAAACACTGACTCGACGATTGTACGGATTTTTGGCAGACTCGGATATCTCAACGAGATTCAATTCCAGCATCCCGTCGACGATGGCCGCGGTTAATTCCACTATAAATGCGTCGACCGTGAATGTTATTAGCAATAACATCGGCTCGGCTGACCATATCAGCAATAATTTACTCTCCGATGATATTGATTTCTCAACGAATCTCACGATACGGATTCTCATGCAAATCTGTATTCATTTGATAGGCATACATATCTTGATAATGACTTTCGTGAGAATGCGCGGTACCTTTATGAAAGTCGGCCAGTCTCTGCTGGTCCGTCGACAATTGGAGATGGAGAAGCAACTGAAGGAAAAGATGATACACTCCGTGATGCCGCCGAAAGTCGCGGACTGGCTGATGGAGGAGAGCGAGCGTGAAAGAGAACGAGAAGATTCGTTGAAGAAGGGCTCGATACCGTCCAATAACACAGACATCCGCTCGTTATTTCGCCCGTTCAACATGCACTCGATGGAGGACGTTAGTATCTTGTTCGCCGATATCGTCGGCTTTACCAGGATGAGCTCGAACAAGACCGCGGAGGAACTGGTGGGCATCCTGAATGATCTCTTCGAACGTTTCGATGATCTCTGTGAACATCACGGATGTGAGAAGATATCTACGCTGGGCGACTGCTACTACTGTGTGAGCGGATGTCCTGAGCCGAGATTTGATCATGCAAAGTGTTGTATAGAAATGGGCTTAGGTGTGTAGAATTTTATTGTTGATATGCGCATCGAATAATCTTAAAATCTCTATGAAACTAATACCATACGTTCTTCATTTTAACAGCTATGATCGAGGCGATAAAACAATTTGATATCGAAAGAAAGGAAGGTGTGAACATGAGGGTGGGCGTGCACACGGGCACCGTACTCTGCGGGATCGTAGGCACGAAGAGATTCAAGTTCGATGTCTGGTCGAACGATGTAACATTGGCGAATAAGCTCGAGAGCACAGGAAAACCCGGCCGTGTGCATTTGAGTGAGAATACTTTGAGATTTTTGGATGACCAGTATATCACGGAGGAGGGAGAACTAGTCAATGGTGAGTAAAGTGATTTGGAAGGAAGTAAACAAGACCAAAATCGAAATTTGATACGCTATGTATCTTGTTCTACGTTGTTCAAAACTGACTCTTAACAGTCTGTCCAAAAATAACAAAATATGAAGGCAGAGAGACACACTTGCTGTTTATTCGTTTCAGGCGTTAAAACTTATTTCATTAGAGCCCGCAAATCGGACTTTATGAATCAATTTATTACGAACATTACGTCACCTAAAAGTATCTCGCCGTTAATGCAGTCGCGTAGCCGTCTGGCATCGTGCAATACTCAGGTTAAGCCACGCCATCATTATCTCCATATGGTCACCAATGCAAGTAACTACAGGATGAAAGCCAATTCTTTGCCGAGTATCCTGGATTCCGAGAACGGCGGCGACACTATAGACGAAAAAGAGGACTCGAACAAAAGCCCGACGTCCACCGCTAGTTACGGCAAAAAGAAAGTGCGGAACAAACCGTGGAAGTATTTGCAGAGGCAACGAACGACCGAGGAGATGATACCGCTGGAGATAGAGGAAGGAAGAAACATCGCTATGGGACGAACGAAACCTGAAATTCAGACGTATGAGGAATGCAATGGATTTAGACGAGTACGCGGCTCTTCTTATTTTCCTACCTGACATGTTTCACGGTGCTCCGGTAGTCACGATTGATTTTCGCCCGCAGATTCCTTTTACCAATGGCGTCGAGATGGATCCGAATCCTGTACCTTCTAGTCCTTTGTTATCTGGTCAGGAACCGATTAGTCACGCTTCTTCCATATGTAGTAGGAAAGATTCTGGCATTAAAAGCAACAGCAGGCGAAGTAGCATACAACAGCAGGTAAGTCGTAAATTGCGTATACGTGCATGTTTAACCGGTGAATAAATTGCTTTAAATGACGTTTGCGATTAGTATTATATAATTCTGTTGCAGTTGTTCCTAATGAACGGCATGGCCCAAGGTGATTTACTAGGACACAGGGTCAGTGGCTATTATACTTCTAGTTCAACGTTAAATTCTACTCACGAGCCTTCGTCGTCGGTACCTCCTTACCCGTTTCCACCGATGGTAACGGATACATTCGGCGCATGCTTTCATAAACTACGGAAGCAATCTGATCTCCAGTTGATTAGGTAAATGATAAATTGCAGAGATGTTACATAAATAACGGCGAATTCTGTTAAGCCGATCTTCCATTTCTCCAAAGGTGTGTCCAAGACAACGTGAGTTCTCAACGCTCGTACTTCGTTAAGCCGCCGCTCTCCAGCGTTACTCTTTTCTTCAAAAACAAGGAGATGGAGAAGGAATATCGAGAGAATGCGCACAAAGCTAGCGATGGTATTGGCGGTAATCCACCCACACTGGCTACCTCGCGGTTCAACACGTATTTTGATATTCTGATATCCGCCCTGGTGTACACGGCCATCACGATCTCGCTTTTCCTGCTCTGCAAGCCGACAACTCACTACATGGTGTTCTCGGTGGTTGCCATCGCCGTTCAGATAATAGCAGTGTCTCTCTGCATCAGACAGCTTCTCTATCCCAACACCACTCATGCGACGTTCACGCAGAGGATATTTAAGTTCTTTTCCCGTTGGTATCCGTGGCATGTGTGCGGCGCGGTCCTGGTCGGTCTACCGATCATCTCCATCTTGCTCAACTTCACGTGCAACAGCTTTAAAAGTCTCAGCAATTTCGAGTACTACTACAGCTATCTCATCCTCGTCGGGTTAGTCCACTTTTGCAACTTCACGCAGCTGAATTGCTGGATGAAGAATCTTCTGGTCACACTTAGCGGCATATTATTTATATGTCTCGTGGTAAGTCACATATCGTACCATCAAGAGAATCTTGGCAGCACTGGTAACGTTCACAGTAGTAATAACTCATTAGCGCAGCTGAGCGCGCTACATCCGAATATCCTGAAACCGCTTGCGAGCGAACAGAGTAGTTTAAAGAACGGGACGTTTTCGAGCTCTATGAGAGATTTTCTCGACACCACGAGAACGCTTGCGTCGAGCGTGAAGCGTATGGAACGTCGATACGAGACGTTGTTTGCGACTTTGGGAGAAGCATACACTCGATACAACGAAAGATTGTACAATTCCGAGATATATCTGGACATGGTGCTGCTGTTGCTGCTGGTCTGGTTCTTGAATCGCGAGTTTGAAATTAGCTATCGGCTGTGCTTTCACGGTAACGCGGTGGCGGCGCGCGACAAGACGCGCGTGCAGTCGATGAAGAATCAGGCCGACTGGCTGCTGCACAACATCATTCCTAAATACGTGGCCGACCAGTTGAAGACCACCGCCAAATACTCGCAGAATCATAAGTCCGTAGGCATCATCTTCGCCAGCATCGTGAACTTCAACGAACTGTACGACGAGTCATATCTAGGTGGTAAGGAATATCTGCGCGTGCTCAATGAGCTTATAGGCGACTTTGACGAGCTGCTAGAGAAACCGGAGTTTGCGAATGTCGAAAAGATTAAGACGATCGGCAGCACCTTCATGGCAGCGAGCGGCCTGAATCCACAGGTGAGAGAACAGAGCGAGCATGAGTACACGCACCTGTTTCAACTGCTGGACTTCGCCGTGGCGATGCACAAGGTGATCTACGATTTTAATCGGGACCTGTTGGGTTTCAAGCTGATCTTACGAGTGGGTTACAATTACGGCGACGTCACGGCCGGCGTGATCGGTGCCACGAAGTTGTATTACGATATCTGGGGCGACGCGGTCAACATAGCGTCGCGGATGGACTCCACCGGGGTCGCCGGCAGGATACAGATGGCCAGCGATTGCTTGGGCGTTCTGTCGGAGCTCTATGAATTCGAGCCACGTGGACAGGTGTACGTTAAGGGCAAGGATAACATGGATGTTTTCCTGCTGATAAGTAAGAAGGAGAATGCCAGCGCTTGAAGATTCAACGTGCCAATTACGTGCGACACACATGTCGAAGATCTGACACAGCGATTGTTTAGCGTTTAGATTATTATCAGTCGACTCGTGTCGAAATATATTGATGTTGAAGAGATGCATACGTGTGAAAGTGGTGAGCAAAAGGAGTGGTATGTTTCTCATGGATCACAGTAGCTACATAGGCGCTACTGGAAGCGTACTCGCCTTATTCGTTGACTGCTCAAATTCTGCTAAAACAAGAGATATTTATTAACTAGAGATGTTTATTGTATTTTTGTAAATACGTCGCGCGAACGGTGTAACGAAACGGAATCTATCACGGGATTATTTTTCCCGAATATACGAACGACGCTGCCTGGAGACGAGCAACCCAGCATGATATAATATAAAGGGAGAGAACTTGTCGCGTGGCATTCTATATTGATATTCTAAGGGTAACAGCGAGCTGTATCGCGCGTGATAAAAGTCAACGAAACTCGAATACCCCGCGTTATGTGTTAAGGTTCCTGGATACCTTCTATCTCTCTTTTTTTAATGACGTCAGAAGCGAGAAAATGCATACTAAAAATTCTTGCGAAATACTTTGAGATAACAAGATATATCCACAAAATAACACTTGTGATCGATTGAGAAGACCTCTAAAATATTTCGTACACACTTTCCTTTTGCTCTAACAATTAATAAGTAATCGTAAAATTAATATGACAGAATAATAAAGAAATTAGATTAAAGAAAGAAGATCACGTTAATTTTATGATTATTTATTAATTGTTAAAGCAAAAGGGAAATGTTCGGAGGAAAATGATGCGAGTACTCAGGAGCCTTAAATCAATTTTAGAGAGTAATATAAAAAGTAAATTTTACACGGTCTCTCGTCTTCCTGTCTGATATTGCGACATGTATAATACGTAACCGAAGTAAAACGACGAACGTTGTTGCAGATGTCGCTCGAGGATTAATTAATCTACGGATGAAAGCGAGTAATACGTGAAATTATTATTAAATATCGAATTAATGAGATGAAAAACTAACATATATTAGCATAAAATTATGTAACGTGCGTCTCGAAGTGCTTACAAATGATGAAAGATAATTTTACCAAAGAACAATAAGCTTAACGCGATTCAGGCCACGAACGTATGTACATAGAAATGCAGATTATGCTTAAGATTTGTTGCTGTAGAAACGATGCACGTGGATGGAACCAATTGCGTATACACATATGCATGGAAACACAATTGCGTATACACATTCCAAGCGCAGCTCGTGACGAGCAGGCTCGTCGCGGATACGCTCGAATCGACATTGCCGTTGATTAACGTCCGCAAAGTGCCGCCAAGTTCATCGCTGATTAATTAAGCGTCCCCGTTATCCGGACAAACCTGCTATGTCGGATTCCAAAGAGTATCTTACTGCATTTTCTCTGTTTTTTTTTTTAACTTTACGATAAGCGATAACTGCGCGCGTTCGATGGGATTCACATACACTGTAGGCGATAGTATTTATATATGTGTTGTATATATTCTAGAGATTTCGAGAATTTATTCGAAAGAATATAAAAAGGAGCTGTATGCTTATATATGCGATATAATGGTGCAATAAAAATTCGATCTGGATTGCACGGCATTGTACATTTTGCGTTGACGTACTTGCACGAAAAATAAGCTCTGATCGTGGTTGTAATCTTAAATAATCGTTAATTCAATGAAATATTGTTAGACGTGACAACAAGTAAAACGTTACGTACAGTAAAGGAATGAGCGATCAGGCAAGCAATTCCAAAATTTTTTTTTTAAATACACTAATATATTTATGACTTTTGTTGGAAACGAAATATTTTTAGAGAAAGAAGGGAGGAGAATTACATCGTTGTGGTGCTATATAGAAATTTCTTAAATGTATTACTTCGACATTTCACACGTTATGAAATTATATAAAACATTTCTACGAAGGTCATGGTCAAAAAGTAAATTTTTGCGTTGGAGCGGACGAGGTGACTAGCTCGCACCAAGAAAACATAAATACGATGTGATCTGTATATAATAATATATATTACAGATTATATATATTCGCCGATTGTGTACCGAGTGGAGGTCACGTACACATGTTACGAGATATCAAATAAATATATATTGTAAACTGTATATTTATATATCGAACATATATATATACACACAAATCTTATGGACAACGAGAGAGACTCTAGGCTATATTGACGTGTATGTCATTATTGTCAATGCAATTTCTTTATTACAATATAATATATACAAGATCGTAGTTGATTACTTCGAGCTGATGTACAAAAACACGGGCGAGACTTAACAACTTGAAAAAAAAAAAATGCAAACGACTCGTCGCGCGTCTCGCCTGTTGGCATAAATCGATGGTCATTGGAACATTACAACACGTGTAATGAGTACTTTATCGATAAATATATATTAATAATTATTATAAAAAAGCCATCCGGGTAGTACTTGACATTTTCGTTACATCTAACGGTCAATCAAATGTAGATATGCGCAATGTGATGTTATTGAAACTTATTGAAATATTGCTCATGGATATCATAATAGGAAGAAATTACTAAATATTATCACAAATTCAATATCTGTGTAATTTTTCAAGTTTACAAGAATATTGTATTATGGCTTTCGGATATATCAATCAGTAAAATTCGGACATTCAATCAGCAAAAAATATAAATGGCCAATAAGAGCCGCGCAGAGGGGGAGGAGTAATGGTTATGATATTTTCTATTGCTGTGTGTGTGAATTGACTACACTAGTTCTCTCTCATTCCACTTTTATCTGTCTCTTTTTAAATTCCGAAAGTGTACACTAGTTCAGCAATAGAAAACAGACCCTTTTTATGAATACAAATTTCAGTTTTCAAAATTCGTTAGCTATTATGTCATGCTAACACAAATCAATGCTAACACAATGAATTACATAGTATGAAAAAACAACGATCTCGTTGTTATTACCAGTTTAGCGGAAAAGCTGTGCGTACGACAGTAGAATTCTGCATACAGATTAGCTTAAAGGGTTAAAGCTTCTGCCTATCCTGAATTATTTGAATTAATCGACATTATTATCATCCTTTCATAAAATAAGAATAATAAACATCGATAGCTCGAATTAACCATTTGTATTTCTTACTTGATTAAGTTCTCGAGTCAGCAAAGAGTCGTTTGCAAGATGAGCAATTTCGTAGTACCCTGGAATAGCTTCGAATAATTATCCTAATCGATTTTTGTGCCATACGTAGACTTCGCCAATTATATTAAATATATCGTCACTCATACAATGGCATTTGTGTTTCTTAAGAAATAACGGAGAAGAACGGAGTAAATTAAAAGTGTAAGACACATTGGTTCGTATTCTGATTGCATGTTTCTAACATATATTCTAAAGTGTTTAGCATCAAGTGTGCGATTAGAATACGGACCTTTGTACATGACACGCTACGAAAGATTGTGGCAATTTCGACTTCGATATTTATAGATAGATATATGTGTACGTATATCGGATTTCCGTTGTACAAATGAGCAAGCTTATTTCTTCGGACGAATGCAACAGATGTGCAAACGTATTGTCTCATCGTCGTCTACGTTCCATCGAAAAGTTAAATGCTTCTGTATAAGAGGGCTTATAAACAATGGAATTGTTTTCTTGCTGTGTTAGTCGTACAAGCTGATGACTACTTTTCTCACACTATAAACCGCACATGGTGGACACTAAGCGCAGTGGAATGCTCGAGAAAGTAGTAGTGCAAAAACCTCTACGCGAAAATTTAGATTTAACTAAAACAAATTCTCCCATACAGAATAGAGGGAAGAGAAACGAATGGACGAAAAACGCATATGTAACAAGAATAAAATATAATTACAGTCATTTAAAAGAATTTGCTTATGCGCGAAATATAATCTAGATAGACGATAAACGATAAAGAAATAAAAAGGTTTATGGAAAAGCCGACTAAAACCTTTTTGATATGTGATATTGTAATGATAGAGTGGCAAACCGCGTAGTTATTTTCTCTCCATCTTTAAAAAACATTTTATATTTAATATTCTAAATATACACATGCGACTTTTTTGGAGAGCGATATTTTGCTTTGCACGGTAATGCGGTTCAGATTTTTTCATTCCGTCTAATCAGTTGCCTACTTTTTAATGCATTATATAAATCATCACGCGCCGCTTGCATGTTATCGCGTTATTAGCATTCACATTTGAGAGAGTTGCGAAAGTTGTATAATGTACAAATGTGTGTTCTCTCTTTCTCTCTCTCTCTCTCTCTCGCATAGATTGTATCCTCTTGATTAAAACTGCCGTTTCGATTCGTATATGTAAATATATAATGTAAATCTAATTGATTCGTCGTAAGTTGTACCGCGGTTCAGTTACTTCGCGAGAAAACTCGGCTGTAAGGAAGACGTTGATCGACTTTTTGCGCGTGATTTGGTGTCGATCTATCTATGCCTTGGAAAAAATCAACGAATCATATAATATGAACATTTGAGAAACAAATATATATATATATATATATATATATATATATATATATATATATATATGTGTGTGTGTGTGTGTATATATAGAGACGAGTGATTATACAATTCATTCTCTTCTACTCTGGCATATAAGATCGCTATAAGATTTTAATGTACAATATGTATATACTTATATAAATATATGACACCGATGTGTAATAAACTATACCTCGAAATCCTTAGCAATATAAATACAATAGATTTGCTCTTTTTAGCCGCACTTTTCGTACTTCCTACTTTCTTTTCTCTTTATTTAACGTACACATTTATCTTATTTTCAATAGTAGCCGAAATAAAGAAAAAAGAAAAGGACATAGCTAAAACAAGACATATCTAACGTGCTACTGGACACTACGGATTTCGGAGTAATTAAAAATAATTGTGATGAAATAGTGAAAATTAAAAACAGAGAAAAAAGAAGAAATGAAGAATATGCTACAAATGTTTGCGTTTGCACACATCAGTCACAGCTCGGAACGTATCGTTTCTCTTCTCTTTTGTACAAAACAACAAGATACGCCATGCAACGCGATCATGTCACAGTTTTAGTCACTACGTGTCCTTATCACAAATTCGCTGCGTCCCATTGTACATATCTCTCAAAAACTCAAGTCTTTATGTCCGCTATAGCTGTCGCGAGAGATAATGTGTGATATATGAGTATCTGGGAGATTGTTTTAGATAATTAAGATGGTTAAAAAGTTAAATAATTAAGATGATTGTTAAAAGGATGTTAAAGAATATCTGCTATGTGAAGCTACGTAAAGATTGAATGAGAGATCGAACGGGCCACTTCTAAACTGATCAACAAAAATACACAACTATTCCTTGCTTCTCGTGCAATTCTTCATTTCTTGTAACAATGATGTACAAAAGTGGTAATTAAAATAAATAAGAGAAACAGTTTATCTACATCTTCGTATCGAAATCACGTGCTGCATCTTCTTCAGTTTGAAATTTATCATCGATTTCAGAGTGAGGAAAGCGCAGAGGAATATTCAACAATTTTTTGTTACAGATTTTTTTCGCCGTGAAAAGACGGTGTGTTTATGGTCTATGTCAATTTGAAGCATCTAATAATCGAGTAAAGACACAAAACATGTCCTAGGATTCCCAAAATATCGTCTCGATTTTCTACGCGATCCTATTAACTTACGTGCTGATGTATTTCTCATTTTATTACAATATTTTTTGCAATATTTGAGGTGTGTATGAGAAAAATTGTTTATAAACGAAATTTATAAATAGTTTGCATAATCTGCAATTGCGTGTATCAAGACGACATTTTGAGTGCTTTAAGTATAATTTGTTATTTTTGTAACTATCGCTAAAAACATATAAGATTTTTTGTAAAAAAGGAACGTGTTGTTTTCGATCAAATGTCGTCTCTTTCATTCTCTCTGTTATCTTGCACATTAAACTGAGAGAAAAGAGACTTCTTTATAATAATTTATAATTATTTATTGAATTAGACCAGCTACGCAAAATGTAATTCTCTAAAACTTCCTGCTACGTAGATCCAGCGAACAGAGCTGTTATTCCCGTATCAGCAGTGTTTTTAGAGATTTCATCCACGCGAACTGGTTGAGGCTTGCCGAACACTTCGATTCGCGGTAAATTGTCTATTTTTACTTCTTTGCGGAACAATTGACCTACGCTTCTGCCGATAAGCTGCAAAAAGATTGCACATTAAAGCCGGTTTATCGTTTAAGAATTACAATAAAAGTTGTAACACAAAAAAAAACACAAAATATTGTAAATTTCAAATTCTCACAAACTAGGAATTACCTGATTTGTAATTTTCTTAAAGAGATCCTTCTTTCCTTTTTCGACTTTGTTGCCTTTTGTGCTGACTACCGACATTTTCTCGTCGAACCGTTGCAAATCGGCGGGATTGACTCCCGGGATCTGCTGCATCACCTCGATGATGTTTGGAAATTTGGGTCTAAGACATTCGTATACTTGCGCGCCCAGTGTGATGAGCGAGCCCTGATTGGCCTCGTGTTGGCCATGCAGTTGCAGGCCCTGAAGAACAGCTACCATGATATGTGACGCCATAGAGGGAGTGAGACTACCATCGGCTGCCAATGCTCGAACAACTGGGCCGGTCAACATCGTGGCCTTGAGACTTGCGTTCGAATCGTTCCATGCGAGCGCACTAGAAATATAAGACGCGTTAATACGTCGAAAGATACGTTCATGTTATAACAAAAAAATGTATAATTACCCTAATACGCATAAGACAACGCTGTGACATGTGGATGGGTGACGTAAAACGAAGGCTCCTAGCTCACTAACGACCTCAGCTACGATACTGTTTCCCCGCGAAAGGGGAGGATCCACCGCCATTCCTCCGCTATCCTGCTCCATATTATCCGGAGGGGCAGCGTCGCTAGCGGCACCACCGACTAGAGCTACTTTCAGCACGTCCACAAAGTCTCTGGTTAGATTTCGATTGAGCATGTCATCAATTACTTCCTGCGTGTCAGTGTTCTCCTCGTCGAGACCGCCAGATTCGTAGAGACGCGCGATGTATTGCCACTTTGCACTTAATCTTTGGCACACTGAAGAAGAAAATATAATTAATATAATAACGAATTAAAATCGGTAGGAAGATCCACCGGGTTGGAAGAAAAAAGCACGCTAAAAAGTGTAGAAAAAGAAGAAACAGATTTATCACTTACTGTGTGTGGATACGTGAGCCAGTACAGGTACTAGTACGCTCTCATAAAAAGCCGGCGGGCACGAGTATATGAATGGCTTCATAAACACACGTATAATCGGCCGTAGTCTGTAGTCCGGAATTGCCTGAAGTGCGAAAGAGAAATGGATTTGTCACGTGTTGTTTGACGTTCGAAGAACATTTACGACGCCACAAATTCTAACCCGCGATAATTATCGGTGTAATAGGAAACGGCAATTCGAGATTACCTCCATATTCGAGAATACAGAGTTCAGCAATGCCGGTGTAAGTCCAGGTAATTGGTAAAAATCTCGGCCGATCATGTGACAGCCGCTACCTAGCATATGATAGCACTGATCATGAATCGTGCTGAGGAATGATTGCATTCGAATCAAAGGAGTGCTTGAAGATTGATCAGTTTCACTAGTGTTGTCGTTGGTTACGCTCAGACCCAGTAGATGTGCCTTCTCCGATTCTAGAAGCCCATAGGCGTTTTTATAGCCCTAAAATAGAGATAATCAACATAAACATTTATTTAAAATATACTTAAAGTTAAGAAAGGAACAAAAACGGCTATTAATATATCATTAATATTATCAATATATATTAGGTATTTTAATATGTTATATACATAATAGCTATTGTGATATTAACACAAAACATCAATATTGTTAATATTACCTCCGACAGAGCAGCTAAAGCAGCAGGACTAAAGAGAGCATTCATCGTTCGTAACAATGCAAAGAGCGTTGGCAGCACAGGGATTACATGTGGCGCGACGGGATTTCTGTAGACCGGATTACCGCTTTCACTGAGTGCGGCCACGAAGCCGCCTCTGGCGGCGCGATCGGGATCCTCGGGAATGGAACACCTTTTGACGACGCTCAGCACAGTGCAAATGCAGATCATGAGATCGGTACGGTTGCGTCCGGCTGGATCCTCCAACATGTTTTCCACTGGCGGTCTGTCTAGACCGACGAATCGCATTAACTCCAACGGTCCCTTGAACGATTCCGCGCCCAGTGCAATAAATTTGGTGGAACCCTCGCCGATAACCTCCGTCACGAATCGAGTCTGCCTCTCATAATCGCAGAAATGATTGGAAATCAACAGAAGTGCCTCGTAAAGCATAATGCTCTCCATTTTGGACAATGGGCTAGGCTCTCTGGCGAGACCACGTACCATCGTATGTATCTGTTCGAATACCGGCAGTAACAGCAATGGATATTTAAGGCTGATCTTCACCATGAGACTAGCAGCGTGACGTCTGACACCTTTAGCCGCCTTTGAGCGATTGCCCTTGCTCTCGCCAGGAGCCTCGAACACAAGAGCGGAGAAGATCTTTTCCAGCACTCGCGGTAAGATGGCGATACCCGGCATGGCCATCGAGCCGGTCGACATCGACAGGAACACGAAGAGAGCGCTTATGCAAGACAACAAGGCGGATAAAAGACAAGGATCTTGTGGCGAATAGCCAAGGCAAAGTTCCAATAGCTGCAGGCCGGTTTGTACGCTTGGTCTTTCGTTGATCAGCAAGATCCTCGACACGACCGAGTCCAAGGCTTGTGCGAGGGCCTCCCATTCGAGGTACTCGCGATCGTTCTGATCGCTCTTGTATTGCAGGTTTGCCATACCCTTGGTTATCTTCGCGGTAAGCCATTGTTGCACGTATGTAAAGGTTACTAACGGTGCCACCATGGTTGCATGTCTGAATCCCTCCAACAGATCCGTTCTGAAGCGATAGAGGAACACGTTGAACTCCTCCTCCGAGTCATAATCGGCGAGGCAGTACGTGGTCATTCCATTGCTCTGTCTATTATGTGGATACGCTACTTTGATCAGTTTGGGCGCGGTGTTTTCCACGTATTTCGGTATATATGTCAGGAGCAGCGAGTCAGTCTTAATTTGCTCATGTTTAAACAGCATTACCCAGATTGCATTCGCTAAATGCGTGAGCGTGAGACTCGAGTACATGGTGAATGTGAGAACAGTGTCTAAGAAAATATTAAAGTGCGTCGGTCGTATACTGGAGGCATCATCCTTTCCCCATAAAGTGCAAAGTTGCGTCGCCATGCCAGTCAACACCTGAAATAATACCACATGAATAACATTATTTCTCCAACCACCAAAACTTGTTGTAAGGCGCAATTTAATTACATCAATATCAACAATTAATATAATTATTGCAAAAATCACCTGCGTGAGTTTCTTCAGGAACAAATAATGATTCTCATGAAAATTCGTTGTAGGTCCAGTGAGCGGCGGTGGGCTAGTAGCTGCTCTGTAAATACAACTCAAAGCTTCCTCCGTAAAGAGGATCATCAGTTGCTTTCGATCTTCAGCTTTACCCTTACGATTTACAATCTGTAGCAGACATTCAGCGGCAGAACACTGAAATATGGGATTTCCCAACAGGAGACACAGTATTTGTAACAATCTCCCGTCTTCTGCCATCACATGATTTATAGAGACCCACTCGACGAATCCAGTCAATGTGGATAGTACTACCTGTTGAAACGACATAAATTATACAGATTTTAATTTGTCGAAATAAAAAACTGGTAAACGTGATATTGAACACGCGCTTACCTGTACGACTTTACTATGTGCCGCGGCGTCGGACATTTGTCCTAAGGCACTTTTCTTCTGAAATTCTGAAAAATGTTGCTCCATTAATCTCAAAAAGAAACTAAAAATTTCTGCCATATTTGTAGTCAACGCCTGGTATATGTCTTTCCTTCTCTGATTGGACTCAAGTGTCTGTAGAAGCGCCACATCCTCCACTAGTCTAAGGAACACTAACAGAACTAACTCAGTTTGGCTTTCTCCTCGCGTGCAAGCTTGACTAAGCTCGGCCAATAGCGTGGGCCATTGTTGAGGCCATTCTCGTTTTATCATTTCAACTACTACACGCGACAAGGCGTCCTTTATGTGCGCTTCTTCTTGTAATAATGGCTCAGTGCCTTCCTGAAGCAGTTTCATGGCGTTCTCTTTGATAAAAATCTTCTCTGACTGTGAGATCTGCGTCCACCGGTACTTTACACAATGCTCCATCAGCTGCAATCCAAAATGACGGACCACCGAGCTTCTGTTGGGAGACTTTTGTGCCAGATACAGACCGCATTGAGCACAGAGAGGTGAGGATTCTTTAAATCTTTCACAGGCATTGTATACTTCCAAACGCTGTTCTTGAGGTACATTAGGTGACATCATTACTTCAACCACACCTGCAAGTTCTGCTGATATCTGGGCTACATTTCCTACTCCGAACTCCATTTCTACCTAATGCACTAGAACGCAAGACACCAATTCAGTATTTGTCAAAAATAATCAATAATTTATATTATGATTAAAACAGGTTGTTAGCTATTTTCTTTAAAAATAAGCTTTGTTCTTCTCCATATCAAGATACAAATATACCATAAAGCATTTACTGTTCTGTCAGTCGATAGCATATGTATATATTTAGTACATAAAAGATATTGTTCATGTCCAAAAATTTTTTGTTAAGAATAATTTGCAATTAGAAACATGTAATATTTCTATATCCGAGATTATTAATGCGGCAATTCAAGCGGGGACTCTGATTTAAGGATCTGTCCAAACTTATTTCGTCAATTAAAGCCATTGTAAGTGAAAATTTCTCTTTTTGGAGCGACCGACTTGAAATCTGCGACTTGTGCTCACATTTCGCGTGGTCTCGCGAAGCTGACGCAAGATACCTTAAGGCAGTGTTAATCCTCACTGAAAATTAGGAACCGGTGTAAATATTCGAACTTCCTTGCGCAACAAGCAAGCTGTTTCGTGCGTTCGCGATATCATGCACGGATGACAAGAAAATCTACCGCAAATCTCGCCGCGTGACCGGATCTTCCACGGGAAGTTATTCGCGAGCCACGAGAACATTCGTACAACGTAGCGGATACGAGAACGCAGCAGCTTGTTGCGGCGGTGTACGCGCGCCGACCATGCCTTGACAGAAATGCACATACTTACCTCTCTGACGCGAGAACGCAGGTCGAGACCGCGACGTGATCGGGCCGCGTGCTGTGAGAGATTTACCGGCGTCGCGCGACGCGTCAATTCATACCTAATTTGCCGATAAAATTGAGGAAGCGACGTGCGCGATACGACGACGATCGTGTCGGACGTCGCCAGCGGGCTTCATGGGCTTCACACTTTAGTGAGATGCAGCACGCTGGACGAATTACACACACTCGAATCGTGCATGTGAAGTATTGTGCTGCCCTCTCAGCGGTATTGTGCTTGATTGTGCTCTACACCGACTGCACTAACCAAACCTAACTCGAACATAACCTAATCAACCGGGTGTGTGTATGTACTTTTTTGCTTCCGTAGAGGAGAGCCACAGTGACCTGTCCTCTTGATCGTTCCATTTCTCGAGGTATTCGCATTACGCAATTGTATCTCGCTAATCGTTAATCTACTTTTTCATGAAAAAGTTGCTCATAATCAGCTTACCTCGCAGCACGTTGTGTAGGGTTATGCCGGTACCGTTCCCGCACGCACTCACGCACGCACGTATTGACGCGAAAGAATGGACGAAGCAATCACCACGCCGCCTACGTATAAATGGGATTTCTTCGAGCGGATTTATTGTGTAGAATTTTCGCCGTACGAATGGTCGCAACATTTAATCTGCATCGCCCTCACCAGGGAAATCGTCGTCGGTACTTTTAGATTTCAGGTGTGTTTGTGTAAAGAACAGTAATTAAACGATAATTATGACTATTTTGTGATTCTATTAGAAAAATTGTTAACATCATTTGTAAAGAATATTTTTATGTTGTGGAAGAAAATGTATAATTGTTATATTATTAATATATAGTTTATTAATTTTAAATAGGATATATTCAATTATCTTTAAACGAGAGATATAGGTCACATATAGTTAATTATTTTTATTACAGGATGAAGATGACACTGTGGAAGACATGGTGTATAATCCTGTCAGATCGTTTCACCATGACACTAGACCTCATGCAATTGCTTGGAGTCCAGAAACTTCTTTGAGTGTTGTTCCCAAAATCTTATCCTTCTGTGTTGCTGGTGCAGATTTTAAAATAAGATTGTACAATAGCAATTTAAGTGACACAAATGTGTATGAGGTAAGAATTTTCATAATGTTATATTGATTTTAAATTTTGCAAAATATTGAATACGATATTAAAAACTGAAATCTTTGGAAGGATTTAAAAGGACACAAGGATTATATTAATGCAATATCCTATGAACCAGAGGGTGAATTATTAGCATCTGTTTCTGATGACCATACATGCAAATTGTGGGCCCTTAAAGAGGACCCAAAGTGTGTATCCACATTTTATTTGACATCACCTGGTGTCAGTGTATGTTGGCACAGTGAAGAATCTGGCAAGCTCTTAGTGGCTGAAAAAAACGGTTTAATACGTATGTATAATGTTAGAAGTCAACAAGCGATTATGTCGCTTGATTCTGGTGTTATTCCTCTAACCACAGCAGACTGGGGACCTAATCCTCTAAAAGTTGCATCAATAGCTGCTGGAGAATTACTTTTATGGGATGTATCTAGACCTAGGTAAATAGAGAATGTAGTTTTAGATTCTTTTTTATCAAATATGTAAGTTTCTATTGAATTCACTTTCTTCACTTTCACTTTTCCAGCCGTGCCTTTGAATCACATCCACTGCACCTAGAAGGAGGTCTAGCAGTAAAATTCTCACTCTCAAACGAACATTTAGTCGCGAGTATCGGATGGCCAGATAATTTAGTGAAAGTTTCTAATTTAAAAACCAAACAAGTGATATTATGTGGAAAAGTTAAATTAGTGGGTGGAATGACGTGGCACCATAAATTACCTTATGTCTGTGCTGGAAGTGATAGAGAACTGTGTTTCTGGAGAGTGAATATAAATTAAGATTTTTCCTTGGTACTCCATCACTCCGTGCCTTTAGTCTCACTCGAGGATATTTACGGCTATTTGGCACACTGTCCTCCCCTTCTAGTATCCTTTCTGTGTATCAACTATTCCTTATTTTTTTCTTAATCTTTTCCAATCTTTATTCCTAAATGTTCCTTGAAAATAATTGCAATTGTTTTCATTCAAACAGGTTCGAATCCATCTTTATGCCACAGCAGTTAAACCAGAACTTGTATGTTAAGATATATTGAGTAAGGCTAATTTTGTCCACAAAAAGAAAATCTCTCTCAGACATTTCATCAATTTTTTATATTAAATTATCATAGAAGACAAGATAGAGAACTTAATACTTTTTTATTTTTAACATAATACTCTCGATTAATCAGTTATTATACAATATACTAAGTTAATACAATATACTAAGAATAGATTAACATATTCTCTAAAAAAATTAAAAAAAAATTGCAAATATATATATAATGTTATATAAAAAAAATGTACTTTTATACTATATTTCATACGCAATTATTTGTCTCCAGATTTAAATTATACAATAAAAACAATTTCTGATACTTTTCACCGTTTATTGTGAAAAATATGCATCCAGTTTTATCTCTTCTTCCTCTGTTTCCGTTTTAATACATGTTTTTTTATAAATTTACAGAAATTTACTATACAGAATTTCCAGTTCTGAAAATCGCTTTCGGTCGTATTTATTACATCGTGGACATAATTCCTTAATAAGATTATAAACGATATTAGGATCCGGCACGCTAACTCTTTCTTCAATAAAACTTTTCTCTTCAAGTTTCATACTCTCATATGACTCGTACAATTCATCCTCTTCTGTAGTCGAAGTATCATTCGCTTTGTTAACTATAAAATGCAAATTTAAATTAAAATAAAGAAACGTGCAAAAGTATAATATGTAATTGTTAATATTGCATATATGTTAGTCAAAATTAATAAACATTTTAGAGAGAATGGGACAAAATAACTTACGCAAAAAATCTTTAACTCTGTTTTCCAGTTGTTCGATTTGGGAAATGCGTTCCATATGTTTTCTTATTTCTTTCCCGCAGGCATCTTCCATTAATGGACCTATTAATCCTAAAAATAGACTGTCTTCATCGATTGACAGATGTTCCATATAAGTCGTCACCCAACACAATAAACCGACACATAGATAAGCGCGTATACTTTTCGATATAGGATAATTGCTCTTCGCATAAATACTGTCCTCATCTATTGGTTTTTTTAGATCTAATGTTATGAGGATGTGGATAAAGAGATCCGTATATTTGATTTTATTTGTCTTCTCTATCTTATATTGAAGCACGTAGTCTAATGCTGTCACAATGTGTCTCAACTGAGTCTCTTTTGCTTCGGACGTGGCCGCCAAAGCGATGTGATAACTAACATGCAAAAGTTGCTCCTGCAAATATATATTAATAATAACAATTTTTATATCACCCACAAAGAATGTTTATTTTCGTTCTGTTGTCTTACCGTTTCACAACTGCTATCCGTAGTAGCACGGGTGAGGAAAGCATCGCTGCGCTGTAAAGCATCGTAACAAGAGAGATTGTGTTTTTCTTTAAGATCTTGCAGCACTCCATGGTTCGATTCTCCTCCTACCCACTTCTGCATTAGGTCGCAACCATTTTCTTTCTTGTACACGGATGTAATTAACTCGTAAGCGTCTATATATATCTCTAGATGCTACATATGAAGAGATTTAAATTGTTTACACGTATAAATGATCTCTTTTAAATCGAAATATATATGTATAATAACTATACCTGTAACTCCTGAATATTCTTAATAATGGAACGTGCCTTCGAGTAATTTAACTTCATGAGAGCACGCATCATCGCATCTTCAGCTAAAGGCATACTGAATTCCACATCGCCGGACATGAATGCTAATTGAGATGCTATTTCTAAAGGTTCTGGATCTTTTCGTCGGCTGAGAAGTTTGGCTGCTTTGGTGAGTTCACCTAATTTTACATAACTAATGTATTTAACAAACGTTAATTTAATAGGGATTACATAACTTCATGATTACTTACATATCCACTTAAGTTATCAGTTGAAACATATACAGTATTGTGATATAGGTTACACATATATTGTGATATAGGTTACACATACATATACTTTAGATTATACTATGCATGTATTTCTTCATAATCATTAATGAATTAACAATTAATTATCTTACCAGTGTGCTGCTTGTTCCAGCTGACCGGTAGTAGTAGCGTAATTTGCCCAAGATTGCAATATCACTGCTAAAGTCGGATCATTATCAGCAAGTTTAAATCTGGCGAGTACATACGCTTCCTTGTACATTCGAACGTCTAAGAACGCTTTTATAGCTTCGTAATTTTTATGTATACAAAGCAAATACGATACTGCTTTTTCTACATTGCCTTCCATTATTAATTGATGCGCATATGCTTCGCATGTTTCTCTCCACGTCCTGCGAAATTACAGTATTAATTATAACGTATCCAATAAAATGCCAATAACATATTTTTCTTTACATTTATATAAAAAGCCCAACGCACTTTACAGAAAGGCTGGTTGAGAGGGATACTAAAAAGTCATTCAGTCGTTTCTCCTTGATTGCGCATTCTAAGTTTTCTCGTAAACCGTCACACCACATTTCCATTTCAGTCACGGTTTCATTTTTGTGTTTCATGTGTGTGAATGCTAATTCTGCCATAGAATAGACAATGAATAATTAAATAATACATAAATTCGCGTATGTGTAATAAAAAATATATATGTACAAATATAACTTATAAAAGCAAGTTTACTTTCTTAAAATTATTAATTATAAACTTACTTTCTTTAGCAATTATTATTTGAAGATCTTCCTTTTCAGAAAATAATGATAAAGCAGCATTACGATCGTTTTCTCCATTTTCCAATTCGGAATCTTGCTCTTGATTTTTTTTAATGTCGTTTTTAATGCAATTCAGAATAGCATATTTTTCATTCATTGTTTTATTATACAATGAGAAGTATGATGATTTTTTATCTTTTTTCTTTCCTATATCTTTAACCAATTCTGGTTGAGATTCTGCAATTAAAAGATCATTATAATGTCGAACTAATTATAATGTCTGTCATATAACTGCTTGATTATATTTAAAATATTAATGCCGAATTACTTGTTTCAACTATTTCAATCGCAGAGTCAGTGGAATGATCAGCGGGATTCGTCGAATTACTCGTGGTCGGTTCATTATGTACTTCCAAATTAGCTATTTTAACATCTTCTATTTTGTATTTTTGCGTCTTATGTTTATGTTTTTTCTTTTTATCCTCCGAAAATGATCTCGGCGATTGCTCCGGTAATGTATAATCCCATATACTTAGCATGAAGTCCGATGAACCAGTGATGATTAATTGTGGCTTGAGTGGACTCCACATGCAGCACAAAACAGGACCACTATGTCCCACGTACGTGCCCATCAACTCTTGTTTTTCAACATTCCACACCTAATTGTATAAAACATAGATCTCAGAAGAAAATGATATGATATCTCATGAATATATTGATGACACATCATTACTGACATATCATCATTAATGACATATCATTATTAAATAAATATCACTTCGTGATGAATGTGACATTTAAGTATATATTTAATACTTGTAAGTGTATATGTAGTGATGATAACTCAATAATAAAGTATATTACATTTATAAGTGTAAATTATATACAAATTATATACAATTATATACAATTGTTACATAACTAAATAAGCGGATCATTTGTGTATTATCATAATATATACGAATACTATACTATACGATACTATACTATATCTATATACACGTATATCTTACCTGTGCAGTATAATCGTAACTGCCGGACACTAAGTATCCTGTGACATGTGGACTCCAAGCTAAACATACCACTTTATCGTAGTGTCCGTTTAAAGTTGTTACCAGTTTGTGCATATTGCGTTGCTGATCCTTCGTAACATCGGTCATTTTCTCTTGAATTTCTAATTCTTTTCTGAGATCTGAGACATCGTAAATCAATATGCTGGACGAGTCAGAAGCAACCGCCAAATAGTCTTTCATCGGCGAATTCCACGTATCCACCGCTGTACTTTCGGGATGCCACACTAAGCAATTTACTGTTTTTTTCGATAGATATATTATATTACCACATTTCTTAAAGCATCGATCATAGAATAAAATCCGCCTGAAAGAATACGAACAAGTTCGATGCGTTTTTCAAAACTGTCCTTTAAACATACGACTTACCCATTTTCTAGTGCGATCGCGAGTATCAAATTGTCGGGCTTCCACGAAAATTCCGTGCATTCTTCCGTTATTATGGACATAGGTTCTAAAATAAAAGTCACGGTGACAGTATTTGATTTAAAGGCAATGGATACTAATATCTTACCTTTGTTTGGATTTTTTACATCATAGACTACCAGTTCTCCTTCTGAACAGGAAAACACACCTAAATCATCTTTGTTTGGCACGGATCCCCATTCAAGCTTATAAATGACCTTTCTATGGTATTGCTTAAATAATATAGGTACATTCTTCAATATGTCGATTACACCAACACGACCCTCTGAAGTACCAAAGGCTAATAAACGTTCGCTCTGAGGCTGCCACGATATCTAACAAAAACATTAATTTACAAGATATACTTGTTTGCACATATAAATAGAAATGTTTGGAGAAATAACTTTTCCAGACGTCATATAAAAATGTCTTACCACTCTCAGCTTTCCTTTTATTTTCTGCCAAAACATGGTGACATCAAAAGTTGTTACATGAGGCTCAGACAAGTTCCATAAACGAAGCATCATATCTCCCGTACCAAATGCGATACGTGAAGTATCTATGGGACAAGCCGCTACGCAATAAATGTATCCTCCCTGCGTAGGTATCTTATATTTCAATTCAACAGATTTGTTTTCTCGCTTACTACAACATATGACCCAACGATCTTGTGCTAACGTCCAAATTGTGAGTCTACAATTTGTAACACAAGAAATCAATTACCTTGTAAACTTGTAAAAAATAATATGTCTTGCCCAATTTCATACCTTAAAATACTATTAAAATCTAACTTACTCAGAACTTTGTCTCCAATTGTTGGATATTTCATTATATTTAGGTATAGTGGCTATGCAAAACAGTCCTCTGTTATGATATGTATGAAGCAATTCATACTGCTTTACTTTTTTGTCTTTGTTCACAGAAAGATCCCAAGAAAGAAGTTCACCCCAGACAGAACTAGTTAAAAGCACTTTTGGCTCTGCCCAACACACTGTAGTCCAAGCCCCACTTGTAGTACCGAGTTTGCTCTTATGTGGCTGAGACACATATGACTGAGAGATGATTGGTAGCTTTGGTAAATTTATTATGGACTCACATCTACCATTTTTACCAGCTTTCCAAATAAACACAAACCTGAATGTAAAAAAATTAATATAGTGCAATTATAGATTTATAGATTTATATATAGATTTTCTTATATAACACATATTTCACTGATATGATATTAGAATGAATAATATATAAAGAAATAATAAAATAGGATATAAAGATAAAAGTTTTGTCTCACTTGTCCTTAGCACCTGAAGCTAAAAGAAGATCTCTTGTGCAGTCTGTAGAAAATACATTGATGTCTGAAGGACACCAAGATAAACTAACTACTTCTTCGTCGTGTCCTCTCAGTTTATACAATATCGATCCATTATTATTAAGATCAACAATATAAATTAGTCCACATTTTGAACCTACTGCCACAAGACCTGCCTCATGAGGGCAACAAGCCAGACAGGTAGCTGTTAGCTTACCTAGAGATATCTTCTTGGCAGTTTGATAATGTGTGTTACAAGACAATAGATAACCTTGTGAATTTACTGCACATGCAAGATTGTTATCTTTAACTGACCAATCAACTCCCACAATCGGTTTATTCTATATCAATACAAAAAAATCATGTGAAACAATTTAGAATAAAGAAATTCTATTATTTGCTATAGGAATTCTCTTTTTTTATAATATTAATTATAGATCACTACAGAAAATAACCAACTGTCTTTTATTATATTTTATTACTTACATCACCAAAAGAGAATGCTGTGATCAGTTCTAATTTATCTATATTCCAGATCTTTGCTTTATCATCATCGCCACAAGAAATTATTAATTCAGAACTATCTAGTTCAAATTTAGGACAAAATGCCAATGCAGTTACTCTGTCTACATGAGCATCCTGAATTATATAGAACTTCAAAGCTAGATCATCCTCTTTTTGTTTGGCAATAACAATACAATTCTTGGCACCCCATGCTAAAGTTTTATGTCTCGAGAAAGCAAGAATATTGCTCAAATACCAGTTTGGTGAAGGAGGCAATATAGCTGAATTCATGCTGCTGTTGTATTCTATTAACAAGAAGTTTTTTATGTATTTCCTATAAAAAATTATTATGAGTATCTTAACGTAGGGTGACCAGATTTCTCAGCTCTGAATTCGGGACATTTCATAAATGTGTGAAGCGAGGGGCAAGACGAGGGGGATAAAAAGATCCGGAAATTATTTGACAATCATTAAAACTCACTGAAAATCAGTATCCCGAAGCACTCGAAAAAATTCGGGACAAAGGGTGAAAAATCGGGATTGTACCGAAAAAATCGAGACGTCTGGTCACCTTAGTTGTATGTGTCGAGAAGGGAGAAGATTACTCCGTAATAATGTACTTACGATATGTTCTGACGACCGCACGTCGTTGTTTTCGACAATCTAATATTTATTTCCGCAGAAGACTCATAGGACACAAGCGAAAGACGTATGGAACACAGAACGTTGTGTTCAAAGCAGTTGCTCGGTATGAAAAGATCGCAGACGCGCGCGCTGTCAATCACGTCCACTAAAAGTTTATTAACGCGCTGAAAGTGTCAAAAGTGCATGAATGTGAACGCCGTGATGCGAACGACGAGAGGTGCGTTCGGGGAGCTCGCTATTAGTAGAGATTCTATAATCAGAGTTTAACTATAAGATAGAACCTTCTGATTGGTTCGCTATGTTTTGTCAAATCCCACACAGGACGCGATAATACTTGCCGTGCGGCGAAAATCCGCACGACAGCCAATCAATATGTTGTTTTTCCGTAAGAGCTAGAAGGTTGTTACGGAAAGCAGCATATTGATTGGCTGTTGTGCGAACTTCCGCCGCATGGCAAGTATTATGGCTCCTGCATACAGGACGCGGTAATGCTTGCCGCGCGGCGGAAGTTCGGGCGACAGCCAATCAATATGATGCTTTCCGTAATAACCTTCTAGCTTTTACGGAAAAATAACATATTGATTGGTTGTCGCGCGGACTTCCGTCGCGCGGCAAGCATTACCGCGTCCTGTCTGCAGGAGCTATTACCGTGTCTTGTACGCAGAAGCCATCATTCTCGAAAAATAAATTATCTCATTGGACCATCGGCTGCGTTCCAACATGCGACAGCGACATACGGCGTATTATGTTCCAGGCCTCAAGTTCAGAATCTTTCATAAAAATATCTTTCAAATATCTTTCATAAAAATATTTGATAATTGACGGATCTTGATTTATATTTACACATGTTATAAAATTATAAGAAATAAGGAAATTTTATATTTAAAGATACATTTAAAAAATGAAGATTTCAAGCTATAAAATGCTTTGAAACCAATTTCATTGGCTACGTTTACACGACGATGTTAATCGGGTTTAGTAACTACCGTAGTTAGTGATTTCTTGAATTCAATTGGAGCATATTTCTAGATCTAAAAGAATATACCAATCGGATTTAATAGTTTACTAACTATGGTAGTTACTAAACCGAATTAACCTTGCCGTGTAAACGTAGACATTATCATTTTTTGCCGAAGTTAGAATCTATTAAATTTGGTGTATCTCTTGCGGTCGAGAGAAACAATCCTGTAACCTTTATGTGTCTTCTATATAATAAAATATGTAGTTTACGTGTTGAAAAAAAAACGTCGAATAAACACATTTTTGTCGAGCTTTATGACGAAGTAGTCTGTACAAGCTTTATTATAAATTATTGAAATGAGACATACACAAATAGCAAAAAAGGGGAGCGGACATAGAAAACGTTAGAAACAGAAGATCAACTTATTTTAGAAATACAAAAAGCGCGCGAATCTGCTTAAACAACTGTAGATCTGATTGTCGCTAAAAATATCGGACTGTGGAGAGTGCGCGTGTGCGCAATCCCCCGTGCATTGATGTTTTGCATTATAATTCTGTCGATCGTGCGATTCACATATTTTTTACAAGGTCTATCTGCAAGTGACTAATGCAATGATATCTTCTCTTTCTCCTTCCCTTTCCATTCTCGTTTTTTTTTTCTCCTCTGATATGAGCAAACGTTAACACAACTGTGATTCATATTAACGCTACTGTCGCATATAATAAATTCGGGCACTAACCGGTGCGGCCATATTTCCTCACTTTTGTTACTTATCATTACCGATGAGATCTTTTAGCATAGCTTACTAAATTTATCGTTCACGAAAGCCTCGACGATGCATCCGACGGTCGTGTGTTTGCTGTTGATTTATGGATTCTTCGGTTTCGTTGCAACACACGAAGAGCTACCGCAGAACATCACACTGGAAATGTTTATGAAGATGTTGGAATCGAGCAAGAAGCCTCCGGTCGTCGATTATAACCCTGATGTCGACCTTACTACGGTAAACAGATTTTCTTCCCTTCTAAAATTGAAAAAGAACTTTTGTACTTCTTTTAAGTGTAATTATTTTTTTAACAATCTTTAGATTCTTTTTCTATATCACGTGCACGGTCTTACATTTACTTGTTTCGTTAAGTACACATTCTTTCTCTGGTCGGGTATAATTCGATAAAAAATTCAGTAATGTCCTATCATTCGAATAGTATATATGTATGCTTGTTTGCACGAATCGCGTTCAATTTTCGATCAACGCAGAGAGTACTATTCACAGGTATTTTAATCGCGCGCCTTTTTTAGACGGGAATGATAAGAAAAGAAGGTTATCCTGCAGAGGCTCACGTTATACCGACAGAGGACGGTTATCTTTTAACATTGCACCGCATCCCAGGTGATAAGGATTCTCTGCCTATCTTCTTGCAACACGGTTTGTTGGGCAGCTCCGCCGATTGGGTTATTTCCGGCAAGAGCAAAGGACTCGGTATGTGTGATCTTTTTTTCAATTACTCTTTAAAAACATTAATTAAAAATATTATATATTATGTAGTATTATATATATGTGCAATTTTATAAGATTTATGATATATATATATATATATATATATATATATTTAATAAAAAATTTAATAAAAAATAATATATTCTTTTATATTTATATTCTTTTATTATTTACATTTTTTTATATTTATATTATATAAGTACATATTTTATATATATTTATATAATACAAATATATTATTAACTCATCATTGGAAAAGTGTATTTACTTTTTCTTTAGTTGTATTTTTATAATTTCTCATGATCATAATATAAATAAATATTGAGATTTAATAATAGCTAATAGAAAAGAATTTTTGAGATATTACAAAGATTTAAAGAAGCTCTCAGACTCCACATTTCCAATGATAGATTAATAAATATATATTATATATAAATTATATATATACACATATATAAATATAATTCAGATAACACATCGTTTGAAAATATTTCCGAAACGTTATGCAAATGATTATGAAACGTTACATACGTTCAAAAAACATATGTAAAATCAATAGGTGTTACTGGGAAATATATCAAATGATATTTTTGCTTTATACTTACTTTATACCTTTCTTGCTTTATTTTTCAGCTTATATACTAGCCGATAAAGGATATGATGTTTGGATGGGCAATTTTCGTGGCAATACCTATTCGAAGGCACATTGTTCACTATCGCCATTATCCTCGAAGTTTTGGGAGTTCAGGTATTCACGTGGAAAAAACACAGTAATACGTACGAAACATAGTCACAACAATATTTGCGATAATTGTTGCAAAAGTTGATCTGTGAATCTTACGTAGTTTACTTTCCTGTTTTGAATAATAAATTTATTATTTTTTATAAACAACATCTCGATCTTGAATTCTCTGTTAGCTTTCACGAAATGGGTATCTATGATCTACCCGCGGCGATTTCATATATCACAAATATGAGATTTCAACCAATACACATGTACATCGGTCATTCAATGGGCACAACTGCTTTTTATATTATGGCTTCGAAGTGTCCGCAAATCACACAAATGGTAGAAGCGATGATTAGCCTCGCACCTGTGGCCTTTGTACAACATATAAAGAGTCCAGTGCGAATTCTGGCACCCTTCAGTAAGCAGTATGAGGTGACGTAAAATGCGAGTTTTGTTAGAAAATTAATTTACATAATTTACTGTGGAGCAAAGAAGCGGTGATGTAAAACAACATTTAATTGTCTTAACATCTCGGTTTAGGCTTGTATTAATAGTCGTCACTCGAAACTTGACTCACGTGAGATACTCAACTTCAAATTCAGAGTTCGATGTGTTTTAGTTTAATTGCAAATATAAACATAACGTCACAAATATCGTATGATTCAGATAAAAACTCTGATACAATTTTAAATTCAAATCTGAATATTTCATATGAGACAAATTTCAAATATGGACTATTCATATAGATCTTAGGCATTCTGAAATAATATCCTTTACTCTGTCTAAATTTTTCAGCCTAATATTAGAATTGTTTAGACTTAACGTCATAGAATCTCATACGCTTCGTAAATTTATTCACAGATAAACGTCGCGTGCGAGTCGAGTGCTCTCGTTCATTCTGAAATAATCTCTTGAAGACAAGACTTCTTGGGAACAATTTGACAGTAAATAAGTGATCGAATCGTAAATGAGATCTTCGATTACAGATAATCGCAAACGTTTTGGGTTATGATGAATTCTTGCCGCAGAGCAATTTTATACGCTTGCTGTCGAAGTACATCTGTGACCTAAACATTGTAGAGAAGAAGATCTGCAGCAACATCATATTCTTGTTTTGCGGTTTCGATCAGCAACAGTTTAATTACGTAAGTAATTCAGTGAAAGCGCACGGAGACTCTATTATTCGCACTTCACAGAAGTGTTTTGATAGTTTATCGTCACACCACTCCATGCGTTGTTTCACGCCACGTCAGAACTTCATCATGCCCGTTTTGCAGACACTGTTGCCTTCGATTTTGAGTCATTCTCCGGCTGGCACATCCACCAAGACGATTGTGCATCTTAGTCAAGGTGTTCTGACGGGCAAATTTCGCCCATACGATTACGGTCCCAAAAAAAATAAGCAAATTTATAACGCCACAGAGCCGCCAGACTATGATCTCACGAACGTCACAGTGCCGATCGCGTTGTTCTACGCCGATAATGATTGGTTAGTCAGCAACCAGGTAAGCGTGTGCGCAGAATCGTGGTGGGCAAATAAAAAATCAATTGTGCTATTGCTTACGAAAACAATACGTACGTTTGTTCAAGGATTTAAAGAAGCTCCACGGTATGCTAAATAATGTACTCGACGTGTATAGAGTGCCGTTTACCAAGTTCAATCATGTGGATTTCTTATGGGGCAAGGACGCGCCCCAACTCGTATACAAGAGGCTGCTACATCTCATAAATCAATCTTACTTTGATGACTAGAAGAAGATCTAACTATCGCTCAAGCGAGTGGAAATAATGTTTTAATAGCGTATACAAATAATAATAATCGCGATTCATGACAATATAATTAATCTTATTTTAAAGTATATTTGATAAGCAATATAACCAGACAATATGATTTACTAAAAGATTAAAAATTTTTAATTTTATATCAAGAGAGCCTTTTCATGACTTTATTTATTTTCTACTAAAAAGAGAGAGAGTATCTTAAAAACATCTAAAAACGCTTTATTTTATCTTGACGTCTTTTGGACGTCTTTAAGACATCTTTTAGTTAATTTATGCTGTCTGGATATTATTGTTAATAATATTTTACTTTAATTAGTTATCTTGGCAGATAGCTAAGAAAGTTGCAATAGAAATGGTGATAATGGTGATATGTTTATATATTGGTATAAAGTAAATAAACCAGATTTACAATTATAGTTTTGTCTGTCATTCTTCGTTTTAAAAGTAAGTATATTCGATTTAGAAAAAAGTTTAATTAAATTAATCCGATAATAAGCGAAACAAATACGTTATAGTTCTTTTATTGATTAATTTAACTAAGCTTTTTTTTCTCCCCATGTAAAGATTTTATATTTACCATAGTTGCGTGCAACAGAAAGTACTCTATAAATTTTATAGTTGATTACGACAATTACAATACGTATTATGTATACTTTTCACTTACATCAGATGTAAATTCCTCTTACGAATGCAGTTCAAGCAACGAGTCTCTCAGGCTTGTACAGTTATTGCGGATGTATCTCTTAAACCGACTTGTTTGATCCTTTTTGCGGCGTTTTGCAGGTGGTCAAAAAGCTGGACTATTGTGTCCTCTTCTTCTCGAAGATCGAAGAACCTTTCATGAACGCGACAAATTCGCAAAGATCAAGTGCGTTAGCGCTTGAACGACACGTGTTTCGCTTCGTCGAGCATCGAAAAAGAACGATCGATTAGCGCTAACGATCGCTCGAACTAATCGAGTCGCGGTCGGATCGATAGAGACGTTAGATTCGACCGCGCAACTTCACGGTGCAGTGGTAGCGGTGCTGGAGGCTCATCGGGCACATTTCCATGTCGAGGAAGGAGCGAGTGCGAGTGCATTTTGATGCGTGATTCTTCGTGCACGTTGTTGCGTTTGGGTGACTTCACGTCGGTTTGCCGCCGTAATTCGACGAGCGATTCGATACGACACGCGAGAAGCGAGCAGTGACGATGAGTGAGAACGCGGAAATCGTAGCGGCGGCACCGCAGGCCGGAGATCCGGCCAGGGCGGAAATGTATAAGGAAGAGGCGAACGAGTATTTCAAGAGTATGTTCGCGCGGTGCGGAATCGACACGATGCGACACGATGCGCTCGTCGTTGCTCTCCCGGGAGAGTGGCGAAATGCGATCCGATTAATCCCAAGCACGGTCACGTGTTCCCGGGCTAACCAAAGTTCCATTGTGTTAGCAGCGGGGGCTCGCAATTATAAAAATAAATCTCCGTAACGGCAAAGGAGCGTCGAGTAATTCTTCCGACGAACAGTCGGAGATTCTCGAAGCTCCTTGGCGCTAATTTACGAGAGATTCGTTTCAACTTTGACTTGATCTTTGCTGTGCGAAAGGGCAGACGTCGAGTGTCTCATATTCTCGATTGGACAGTCGTCTTGTAACGATATTACGTGATTTCGGAATGACGCGCATTATTACGGGAGATTGAGTGACCAACAGCGAGCGTTTTCATTCAGCATTGTGATCTGTCTTTCTTTTCAGATCAAGTGTACGACAAAGCCATCGAATTGTATACCAAAGCCATAGAATTAAACCCGTCGATAGCCGTGTACTATGGCAATAGAAGTATTGCTTATTTGAGGACAGAATGTTTTGGATATGCGTTGACAGATGCGTCCAAAGCCATTGAGTTAGATAGAAATTATATAAAGGGTTATTATCGCAGAGCTGCCGCTTATATGTCTCTGGGCAAGTTCAAGTTGGCACTTACAGATTACAGAACTGTTGTGAGGGCTAAGCCAAATGACAAAGATGCTATAGCCAGATGTACGGAATGTTCCAAGATGGTTAAAATGCTAGCATTTCAAAAGGCTATCTCTGTAGAGGAAAAGAAAAATATTGCTGACATGATCAATCTGGAAGCTATGAGTGAGTATTTTTATGATAGAAAACTCTATAAAGCTTGTGTGTGCTTTGTATAGTATCGACTCATAATCCTTGAATATTTATAAATTTGTGATATTTGTAAGAAGCAATTAACACTTTATTGATCAAATATGCAGTTTAATTTATGTTAGGCAAAATTAATCAATGTTCTATAGTCTTGTTGATAGGATATCACAATATAGACATTTGATATATAGTTTTCTTGAATGTATTCTAAAGTGAAATATAATTTGAGATTGATAATACTAATAGAAGGAATTCATGATACTAATAGATAATATTAGTGGAGACTCAAAATTACAATATATATATTCAAATTAATCATTTTTGTAGCCATCGAGGATGAGTACACAGGGCCTAAATTGGCTGATGGCAAAGTTACTTTACAATTTATGCAAGAATTACTAGAATGGTATAGAAATCAAAATAAATTGCACCGTAAATATGCTTACAAGATCCTGCTGGACGTTAAATCATGGTTTATGGTACAACCTAGCTTAGTAGACATCACAATTCCTGAAGATAGTAAATTCACTATTTGTGGTGATATACACGGACAATATTATGACTTGCTTAATATATTTAAGTTAAATGGATTACCATCCGAAACTAATCCATATGTATCCTTTGTGAGAACAAAAAGATATAAGGTAATGTACTTACTAGGTAACTCGTGTGACATCAATTTGTAGACTTGTCTAAGTAATATTTTGTATACTGATATACAGAAGTACATACTACACATCTCAGGAATATGTTCCTTAACAGCTATTTAGTTATTTAATGGAGATTTTGTAGATAGAGGCTCTTTTTCTGTAGAATGCATATTCACTTTATTTGGTTTTAAATTATTATACCCGAATCACTTCTTTATGTCAAGAGGTAAGTAATCTCTGTTTCTGGACATTTTAGTGTCTGAGTTTGACACTGATAAAGTATCTGACGTGTTCAAGGTAACCATGAGTCAGCAACGATGAATCAAATGTACGGGTTTGATGGTGAAGTGAAAGCTAAATATTCTACCCAAATGGCAGAATTGTTTACAGAAGTATATAACTGGCTTCCCCTGGCACACTGTCTTAATAATCGAGTGCTCGTAAGTTTTTGCAAAAGCTGTGAATACTGCAATCTGAATGAATTTTGACTGCGTTTCGATATTCATCGCCAGTACTGTAAATTTATAGCATATGCAAACCTGAACTATAGATTTTCAGTATTGGCACAGTGAACATTGGAGTACAGCCTTCGTATATCTATGTGCCATGCAATCAAAGTATAATTTCCATACAACTGTAATCGAATTGCTATCTGTAAGGTGATGCATGGCGGATTGTTCTCGCGAGATGACGTGACATTACAAGAGATCAGGGAAATTGATAGAAACAGACAGCCACCTGATGAGGGACTAATGTGCGAGCTGTTGTGGTCAGATCCACAACCGCAAATAGGTAGAGCACCTAGCAAGAGAGGCGTAGGTGTTCAGTTCGGGCCTGACGTCACGCAAAATTTCCTTACAACAAATTCTCTCGATTATATCGTGAGGAGTCACGAAGTCAAGAACGACGGATACGAGGTTGGGCATGATGGGAAGTGTATCACAGTATTTTCCGCTCCAAATTATTGGTAAATAATGACTTCTCGTTATGATGTTTCGTCACGAGTCGTGATATCATAGTTTTGTTATGTGGTCTATTATCGTCTTCGTCATTTTCAGTGATACCATGGGTAACCAAGGTGCCTTTATCACACTTAACGGTAAAGACATGAAACCTTATTTCACGTCGTACGAAGCAATGGTATGTAGTTGATTTGTTTATATAAAATATTCGCTTTGACTGTGTTTGATATAAACCATGTGAAAATGGTTCACTGTAACATTGTGTTACAGCCTCATCCAAATGTAAGGCCGATGGCTTACGCTAACTCTCTACTAAAGTTCATGTGCTAGTGGAACACTCTCTAGGTATTATTGATAACGACAACTGAACATATATATATTATATATAAGTAGCCCAATCAAAGTGTGCGTATTATATTTGATACCGAAATGGAGAAGGTAAGAGACACTTTAGACTTCTCCGCAACAATAATTACCGTATTATTTCTAGGAACACAATGAATTTTTCTTATAAAATATATGCAATGAGTGCATAATATTGATGGGTACAAAAGCGAGAAAGGTTTGCTTATTTTTACAACAGGCAAACAGTTTTATCGAGTTTCTTTATCTATGATAAGAAAAACAACTCATCAGACATCACTAGAAATTTGTGTTCGTTTATAATAAAATAACGCGCAAATAACGTTTCTATTTTGTACCCTCAATCTGCAACCACCTTGCTCGTTAAAGACGCCTGTATCCGTACGCGTGCACGCATATATATACAAGAAGAAAGAATTGATCTCGGAAATCTCTCCAAGAGGATCTTACAATCTACCACTTAATAGTGCGAAGCGAAAACACAATCGCAACACTTTTAATTAATTCTTTAACGATCAATGGTGGTTTCAATGAAATTATGATTATGGATATATATATATATATATATATATATATATATATACACATATACATATAACATATATGAAACTTAGCATAATTACGTAGTACAATATTCCAGCCAGTCACTACTTGTTATTTGTGACAACTTTTTTATAAACCTATTGTGATTGGAGGGATTTCTTTGATCTAACATTTTGTTTTTTGTTAATAATAAATGATGTTTATAATGTACATAAAACAGACATCTCATTTTATGCAACGTACGAGACAACATGACAAAAAATTACACGTAATGTTAGTCGATATGACTTTATGAAAAATGGCGGATAATCTCCTTCGGCAAATTATTACGATTCTGATAGGATACGTTTAAGACTTTGATTCTCTCGTCTGCGTGTAATTTCTGGAATAGCGTTGCGTGCTGTTGTGGTACTTTGTGTATTTGCGGAATAGTCCCGATCACAAAAGTTTTCTTGGAGGTGCCGAAAAATATATCCATTACTTTCCTCTTGAAGTCTTTGCTGAACAACTCCATTTTGCCGATTTCGTCGATTAACAATATATCCTGCAAAGCGTACAATCGACGTCATTGAGTTGTGATAATAGGTTCATCCTAAGAAGAATCATTGACTCTTACAGTATCAGAATCCAATGCCGATAGCGCTATCGTCTCGAAATTATCCAGAAAGACGCTATAGTTTCCTACATGATACTTGCAATCCTTCTGAGCCTCTGTTAAGTTTCTATGAATGACAAAGAAATGTTAAATATAATATGTATTGAGTTATACGCACGGTGTATTATTATAGATAAAAAGACGCACTTTAGTCGTGCCAAGGATAATCTCCTTTCGGGATCCTTCACCCTGACAACGTCAAAGCCAATCCTGGTGCCGTTCCGATCTCGCATTTCCTCTGTGTAAAATCCGTCGAATCGGCTGCCCTTTTTTTCCAACGTGGACGCAACTTTTTTGCATATTGTAGTCTTGCCTATACCTACAGAAATTACCTTCAGCGTTATATTTCAGCTCGTAACGTTGTTGTATGATCTATATTCTATCTATGTTCATAGTGTAAGTTTCTAAGAGCATTGGCATGATGGAATATTGGGATAAATGAGAAAAAGAAATTTGTACGAGGGAAAAAAATTCTGCTGAATCAATAAAATTGGTCAACAGCGCCGTAATTGAAACAAATCTTATTAACTTTCAAATTATTCCAGCTGGAATAAATCTTTGCAATTGCGGCGCTGTTGATTCATTTCTTTCCGTATACAATTCATGAAACGTACATAACACAAATATCAACAGTTTTAATCTCATTTGTCGTCTATTTATTTGAAATAATACTTATGGAAACTATGCGCGCGATCCTCGTACGTACACATATTTCGTTCGAATTTCCCCGCGCCCCGAGTCTCACCTGGTGGGCCCGTGAGTAGTACGTGCGATATCCGCGACGCGCCGCTAGCTTCCATAACTCGCGTCGTTTACGTCGGAATTCGCCGCCTGCTACGATCCACCGTTACGGAGCTGTTGCACGTGTAAACGATCGCCGGTGGTCGTGAGGGACGACCGCAGGAAGGCACGGGCACGTGCGCGACCAATGCAGAATCAATCGTGAATTTATGCGGTGGTGTCGTGAGAACGCACGCGCTTGCACGCGGCAAGAACGACGAAGCTCGTGTGATACGCGCAACGGCGTCGTGGCAGTCGAAGTGAGCGCTCCGCGGCGGGGCGGTCGGGGCCGAACAGCGATCAGCTGATCGAGCTGAACGAGCAACGACGAGGCGGAGACAGTCGGTTGGCCGATCGGATTGCATTGGGACAGTGATACCGACGACGGTGGTGGTGGTAGTGGTGGTGGTAGTGGTAGTAGTGGTAGTAGTGGTAGTGGTGGTAGGAATAAAACTGATGGTAGGTCGAGCGTCGCCCGACAGCCCTGTACACATCGTTGCGTCGTGACGTGCGGCCGCTGGCGTGTGCATTCTGGTGCTTGTGTTCTCGTCGGTGCGTGTCTTCATAGGACTGGAACGCGTGACGTGCGAGTGGTACGCATCGGTGTGGTGTGGAAATTACGGAGGATATCCGCGGCGCATCTGTCGGGGACGCTCGCGATCCGCGTGCGACGGACGCGTTTCGTCGCTCGCAGAGTAAACATCGTTCAAGGAGGACGAAGAGAGCAGCAGTAGCAGGCGATAGAGGAGGCAGAGGGGACGGAGAAATACACGCACGCACAGCGATAGTACCGATTTCGTGGGCGTGCGAAGGGAGCTCGCGCTCGTTCGTTCGTTCGTTCGTTCGTTCGTTCGTTCGTTGCGCTCGGTAACGTTCGGTGTTCACTCGCGTCCTCTGTCGCACGCCTCCCACGCGACAAGCGCGAGACACTACCGGGTCTCCGGAGGATTAACGCATCGTCCCGACGTCAAGCGGACGGTGCAGCACGCACGACAACTACGGTAACGGCTACGACAACGACGGCGGCCGCGACGACGACGACGGCGGCCGCGACGGCGGCGGCGACGGCGACGACGTCGTCGTCGTCGTTGTCGCGCGACGTTGGATGGAAAAGGGAGGGCCGGTTAGCTGAAGCTACTGAGGAAGAGGAAGACAACAGGGTCCGCTATCGTGGGCTCAGACGACGACTTCGCCGACGACAGTCGTGCGAGGGCAAGGGCAAAGGCGGCGGCGGCGAGAAGAAGATGGCTTATCCGTCCGAGTGCAGCGTACTGTCGTATGTGGTCGCACGGCAAATCGACGACAAGGTCGATTACTGCAAGAGCCTGATGAACGCCAGATTCGAGAACTCGGAGAATCTCTATAGGAAGGACCTGCTGTCCCATTACGGATGCGTTAACGCGATTGAGTTCTCGAATCAGGGTGATCTGCTCGTCTCCGGTGAGTCCGCGAGCTCGCGACGTGTCGCTCTTTCGTCAGGTCGGCAGAGGACCCGTTGTGCGTGACTCGGGATCCCCATCTGTCTCTCTAGTCTCGATCGATCGGCCGACACGTCGACGTGCGTGATTTACCTTTAGGGCTTAGATCAATGATCGCTCAAGCACGTGTGTGTATGATTTTTCGATAGTAACTTCTATTTTTAGTTGCGGCTTTTCCGTTCGCGTTCGAAAGTGCAAGCGCTTTGAACACCGCCTTCAGCCAGATTCAGCTGGGGGTTCCTCCTTCTCGGCGGGAGTGATCTCGCGGTAGATCGTAGGACACTTATCGCGCGTGCATTCAGTTTCTCCCTTATTGTCTCCCCACGACACAGTGCCCGTTGATTTCGAGCAAATACAACGGAAATATTGGTCTTCGCGTAGCATGAATTACCGTTCTGTTTCTCTCTTCGCTCGCGTAGCGCGTAGATGTGAATAACGAGCGCTTTAAAGAGGCATGCTTCTTAAAGGCTACGGTACTCACGGACCGGTGGTCAGCTTAATATTTATCATCGGGAGGGCAGCAAAGACACCAAAAACAGCCGTGGTTCTCGAGTTAATGCGCTGACGTATCGTCAGAATGAATCTCCCCTTTGTTGCGCTCCGCCACCTAGAAGAATGCGATTGCATATGTTCGAAAAGAATCATTTGTTGGCAATGCTATTTCCACAGGTGGCGATGACAGGAGAGTCCTACTGTGGAAAGTGGAGCAGGCAATACGGGGTGTGGGCAAGCCCACCGTGATGAAGGCTCAGCACGTTAGCAATATATTCTGTCTCGGTTACGACAGCAGCAAAACCAAGATATTTTCCGCAGGGAACGACGATCAAGTCATAGTCCACGACTTGGAAACGTAAGAAACTGTTTACACATGCGAGCACGGCGCAATATAATATTTTGCACATTGAGTCGCGTCTTCATGAGCGCGATTTCATTTCCAGGAGCGACGTGCTCAACTTCTTCCTGCACGAAAAGCCGGTCTACGGTCTGTCCATTCATCCGCACAATGACAATGTCTTTGCCAGCGCCTGCGACGACGGGAGAGTCCTGATTTATGATATACGCGGCTCCAGCGCCACGGAAACGTTTTGCCTGGCGCAATACAAGACCGCTTTTCACTCCGTCATGTTTAACCCTGTGGACCCCAGAATGCTCGCCACCGCCAACGCCAAGGAAGGCGTCAGCATGTGGGACGTGCGGAAACCTTTGGAGTAAGTAAACAGATCTGCTCGCGAATTTTCCTTTTATCCCAGATGGCGATGCCACGATCGGCTTAACCTTGTGAGCGCACATATCTGGCAGGAAGACACTAGAAGCATACAGGTGCAAAGGAGGATGCACAAATCCTCGTGGTCCTAGGGTCATGTGTATAGTTGAAATCTGGTGTATTTCGTAAGTGCATTAATCTTCACCAAGTCTTTATTACATTCATGTGACTTTAGTCAGGACTTTAGTCATATAGGCGGTTAAGTAGGGAAATTGCGTCACTGTACACAAAAATATCATTCTACTGCTAAAAAAGCGATTACTCAGTTTAATTTTCTTCCTTTAATGTTTATCTTGAACAAAGAATATTTTCTTGATAATATAGTTTTAAAATATACTTATTACAAATACTTAAAAAAGTTAATTATGTATTCAAGAAAGAATTTATTGCCTTTGCAAAATTTATGAGACTTTACCAAACAAAAAGAGTTGGTTTAACTCTGTGCAAATAAGCCGAATTTTTGCTTTAATTTAATATTCTTGATTGAAATGTTTAATTCACTGGGATGCAGGATATATTTTGAGTAAATTTGACGTTTTTGATGGGCGTGTAACAAATTTGCGAATATGTACTTATGAAATATACATATGAAATATTTGAAACAAGTAACATTTACTTGAATGTAGTATGTATTTTTTTGTGTATGGATTCGTCGAGGTTACAAAGAGCGACAAAAATGTTATTGGGTGTTATGTATGCGTGTCAAAGCAAGCATCATATTTTGACAAATCTAAAGTTGTACTGTTAGTATAAAAGTGGACTTAGAATTATGGTACTAATACTGCGCACACATTATGACTGCTTTATGGTTCCTTGGCAGGCACTAATCGAATGTTCCAAAATCAGCATTGTTGACACACAGTACTGAAAGCGAAAATGACTAATTATTTTAAACTATATTCATCCTTAATTTATTTCCTTAACAAATTGTACTTTTAATGAGCAATAATGGGTAGTAAAAATACATAAAAACAAATTATAACAAATATTTTGCAGTTTTGTAAGCTTTACATCTCAAGATAACGTACATATTAAAAAAAATTTTCCAAAGTTTTTCCTTATATCTCAAGACTGGAATGCTTTTCAATGATAGTGCCATTGCAACTTCTAATGTGCCCAATGTGTATTCCCGCTGGGTTTTAGCTATATAAGATCAGAAATTTAACGATGATGTACAGAGAAAGATATCATTCTTGCTTTTGCATATTTTCTTCCAACGCATAGCTCTCATTGGCCTTTCTCGTATGATTTGATTTACTAGGATTTAGAAGTTACTAATTGTTCCGTTGCATCCACAGACCTGTATTACGCTACGGGAGCGAGACTCCGGCACAGAGCTGCATGAACGTGCGGTTTAACGCTTTGGGCAACCGATTGCTGGCCTTACGGAGAAGATTGCCACCAGTTCTTTACGCGGTCGACTCACCCACGCACTTGTGTGAATTCGACCACCCGGGTTACTACAACAGCTGTACTATGAAGTCATGCTGTTTCGCCGGAGATAACGACGAATACGTTCTCTCTGGTGAGTATCTAGTATAAAAAGAAAAGAAGAAAAAGATGCGACTCGTAGCAAACGATACGCGAATTTTATGCGTCGAATTTGCAGGTTCCGATGATTTTAACCTTTACATGTGGAAGATCCCGTCGACGGAAGTGAAATGGGTGGAATCTGCTCACATGGTACTACGTGGTCACAGATCGATCGTTAATCAAGTTCGGTACAACCAAGCGAGTTGTATCTTCGCATCGTCCGGCGTGGAGAAGATCATAAAGATCTGGAGTCCGTTTCCGCTCGGAGCTGGAAGTCTAGGAGGATTGAAGGTTCGGTATCGTCCAAGCGTTTTGCAATTAAGCAGCTCAATAAGAGATAAAACGCATCGAAACTAACGTCTTTGCGTCGTTTTCTAGAGGGACGCTGGTAAACAAGAGAAACAGCGCCGAGTGTACACGCATGACGAATACATTGGATTGGTTTTGCGTAGCGGACAGTTTATGACACACGACTATAGCCACCAGTCTACCAGAGAAGACTCGCGAATGATGGCCTTCTTTGATTCTCTTGTGCAACGCGAAATTGAAGGCTGGAGCTCCGAGGACGGGCCGACTGCGCCACAAACTCCGAATGGCGAGCCCGAGATCAACCCGGTAACAGGACAGCCGTACAGTGAATCGGACTTTGACGGTACGACATATTTCTTCTAGTATTTCAGAACAACTTGAATATACTTTGTATAACTTTCAAAGATTAAGCGATTTAATGTATCGTTACTTTCAGCTGATTCCACTGCGTCAGAGGCCGGCGTAGCTCCCGAGAGACCGTTGGGGTCGCCGAATCGTATAACTCGACTCATCGCAGCTCGCAGGGAGAAGCTCATGCGATTAGCCGCGACGGATTGCGGTACGACAACGTGCAACAATTCGACAAACATAGCCGAGCGATCCGCCTCGTGTTCCGCTAGCGAAGGGGACAGTGCACGCACGAAATGTAGATCTAAATCACGATCGAAGTTGAAAGGCATCAAGAGGAAACACGCCAGGATATCCGGTAGGAGAAGCAGAGTTAGGAGAAAGTGTACCGTGTTAAAGATCAATAGTGATTCGGATAGTGATGACGAACAACCTGTTGACGCGGCTCAACCTAGTACGAGTTCCGGTGTGATCTCCCGAAGATCGCGATACGTCGCCAACACGATCGAGAATGACACCAAGCATACGAGTTATAGCAGCAGTACCACCAGCAGTACCACTACCAGCAGCAGCAGCAGCAGCAGCAGCAGCAGCGGTAGCAGCAGCAGCAGCAACAGCAGCAGTAGCAGTAGCAGCAGTAACAGCAGCAGTAGTAGTTCCGAGGACAACGATATCCCCGTGAAACGAAAACATTCTAAAACCGATTCAGACGCATCCGCGAAGGCGCACAGAAGGAAGCATAGGAACAAGTGTAAAAACAGGTCCCGGAACGAGAGCTCCGGCAAGAAGTCAAGTAAACGTGCTAAATTCGATGAGGACACGGAGGAGGAGTGGTACGGCTGGATGAACGGTGCCAGCACCGGCAAGCCGCGGGAAGACGGACCGTCAACCCCGACCAAGAAGCCGCTTCAAGTTCCTTGTTCCCCTGACAGCGGTATTAAGTCGGGAGTCTCTACGGGAGAAAAGAGCAGCGGACAGACGCGCAAAGAACGAGACGCGGACAGTTCCGATTACGAACAAAAACTAAAGAGCTTTGAGTGTTTCCGTAAGAAAGTGGACGTGGCGAGGAGGAGTTACCGCAATCGATCCGCCGCCGCGCCTCCGACCCAAACGATTTCCACCACGTCCGAAACCACAACCGACTCTTCCGATTGAGAGTTCCCACGTCGCTCCTCGCAACTCTGCCACCCCGACTCACCTCCTCCTTCCCTTTGTACATAATGTATCTGTGATTCCTTGAAGTATATTTTTATAACACTAAGTTGGGTCACACGCGCGAACATGCGGTCGATCGTTTTTCTATCTTGTTTTAGATTAGAGCTCGGAATTAGTTGTCCATCTTGGATGATTTTCGAGAGCTACGCCTTCTATCTTCCCCTTGCTGCGCGGCGGGCCTCGAAACTGACGGTCGCGGCTCCAAGCCTCAGCCGTTGGGATTATAAGGAGCGCATCTATGTGGTGCCTACCAATGCGTTCGGGAAACGCGCTGATCAGCGCTAACGCGTCATTTAATTCTTGTGTGTTGTACAATGTACAATATACAATATTTTTTTATATATGCTTACAATGATTACAATGTACAATATACAATGAACAAGAAAAATTGAATGATACGTTAGCGCTGATCGGTGCGCTTTCCGAATGCATCTTTGGTTGGCACTACATAGATACGCCTCTTATAATCCCAACGATCCTGAGACTTGGAATCGCGACCATCCGTATCGAGGCCCGCCGTACGGCAAGGGGAAGACAGTAGGCGTAGCTCTCGACAGTCGACCGAGATGATCAATCAATTCCGAGCTCTGTTTTAGATCTTATCGTCCGTATCCCAATCCCTCGTGCATGTACTGTGTTTTCTTATCCCTTCGCGATTTCTGAGAGAGGTTCGTCAAGATTCGTCGAGGTATTGTGTAAATTTCTTTCGTGACACGGTCAGCAAGTGCGTTGAGTCGTGAACAAGTCAAGTCACCGATTAATGCAGCCGGTGACTCGGTCCCACCGGTCACACTGGTTAGGTAAAACGAAATTACGATGTGTGGTATACCGCCCTTGTATCTCTCGTCCCCGATGCCATTATTATCGGCTGTCAGCTTGATTAATCTAGGAGAGTTCGATTATTATTGCTGAAGACGGGCGTTTTTTCGGATCTGGCCATTAAATCGCATGTAATCGAGATCCTCGGTGAAACGTCGCCGCAATGCGAACAGATAGACGCGGATTGTTAACGTGCCGCGCTAGCTTAAATATTGCGACTCGGCTAATGTGTATTGTTGAACATGGTTTATGCGACGGAAAGTAATAAAGTAATAAATTAGTATACATTTTTTTCCTATGCGTTGAACGTTGAGGAATTATTGTAACTATATATTACATTATTTAATTTTGCATTTATATACATCTTTATTAACTGATTACGAATAAACGAGAGAAAACGATAGCGAGATTCTTACGATTTCTTGCGATTTTATTCGTTTTCCGATTGTGCACGATCAGTGCGATCGCGGAGTGAGCTTCTTCCGTTTCCGATTATTTTTTGCAGCATGTATAAATAAACTTTGACCAATGTAGACGATAATAGTATCTAGATACACCACATCCTGCGGTGGGATACTTCCTTCTCCTCGAGCTCGTTTCGGCTGAGCGCGACTTCGCATTGCATCGCATTTGACCAGAACTTTTCGATAGATAACGCTCTAAGATGTTAAGCGCGACGAACTTGGCAGTGTATTCACACATACGAGCTTTCGTTATCGTGCTGATAATCCTGCGATACAATCCGTTGGCGTACAATATAAACTCGCGCAGTGTCCAAATATTCAACTATCCCGTGACTGCATCGTCACTTCGGCGCGGCAGTTATTTCGGCTTCTCGGTAGCCCTGTATGCAGGTACGGACAATTCCTTGGTGCTCGTCGGAGCACCGCGGGCGAACTCCACGAGATTACACAATGTCAAGGAACCGGGAACAGTTTTCCAGTGTGCGATGAACGGCGTGTGCAAAGAATGGTTGGTCGATCAATCCGTGAACGGTGTGTATCCTCGCAACAGACGAATCAAGCAAATTAAGGATAACGCATGGATCGGTGCGACCATCGCTGTGGAGAATAAGACAATAGCCAGAGTTGTGGTGCGTGTTGTTGCTCATCTTCCGTGTTGATAATTTTTCGCGTTGATTATGTATCTCGAAATAATCGCATCGTCGACTCTTCTTGCTTTCTATAAAATCACTTGTACGCTGTTGACTGTTTCATGGAGATACTTCGATACAGAAAGCACGATTATATCGAGGAGAGTATTTACCGATTTGCGCCGGGTTGAATTGTTAACATTTTGACAATTAACAAAAGTTTCGTTTCGTTCCAAGTAAACTTTGACTTCAATTTATTATTGCTATAATGAAAATTTTAAGATTCTCCGAAGACTTCTATATAACAGACACGTGAATGAAAACAATTTATAGAAAACAATTTATGCTTATAAAAGTGTAACTGAAATGTCAATGATTAATTATTTGTACTTGGTGCAAACCTATTGATATCGTTACTTTTTTAAAAACTATAAATTTAAATTGGTATAACTCAGAATTAATATTTAATTTCTTTTTATATATTAAAATTTATTTGTAAAGACAAAATAACGGCGAAGCGCATGTATTTGGTTCCTTTTTTACTTTTAAAAAATATAATAGACACGCGAGTATTCGTTCATTATTCAACAGCCAGTTTTGTTGAATAGGTTTGCGGACCGCGGTGGAAAATGAGCAGGTACCATTATATATACGGTATTTGTTACGGGACACTGGCTACCAATATTGATGCATTCAAGAGAGAAGCGCAGCAGCATTGGTTACCAACCTACGACAGTCCCAGGCAGATAAAAGTGTCCCCCTACATCTACAACTATGCGTATAGCCAAGTCGGCTTTTCCTTGCACATGAATTCACGAAATTACGACGTAGATATCGCGCTGGGTGCCCCAGGCATGTTCGGCTGGGAAGGCGATGCGATATTAATTACCAATGCATTTAACAAGTCTACTTCGCACACGATAATTGCCTCAGTCGTTGGAGAGACATGGCTTGATATTCACAATTATTTCGGTAATGTTTTACATTTTTTATCTCGCTATCCGTTCGTATCATTCGTCAAGGCTCCTTGTCGTGGAATTCTTCAGTGACGATACAAAAAAATACACGCTAAAAATTCTTGCAAAATGTATTCAAACAAAAAGATATATATGTAAAATGACACTTGCAATCGAAGCAGACTTGTGTAATATTTCAAATATTTTTTGTATATTATTTTATATACTTAATCCCTCTCGACACAAAAACTTCTCACATATCAAACGAAGAGATAGACTATACGATTTAAACGCGTCTCTCTTTAACGACTGAAGGAATTTTTATGTATTTTTATATATTTTTATATACGATGGTTTTACAGGATACGCCATAACATCGGGCGCTTATTTCAAACAGGGAGACATGTTGTACGCAACCGGAGCAACGACCGGAAGTATAAATTTGCGCGGGAAGGTCTTAGTTTTTAAATCCATGGAGAGTATAAATTATATGAAAGTAGCAAACGCGGTAGAAGGCCAACAAATCGGGGAGTACTTTGGCGCCGCTCTAACGTCATGCGACATTAACAATGACGGCAAAGATGAATTGGTTGTTGGCGCACCGCAATGGACTAAAGACATGGACGAAGGCTGCGTTTACATCTTCACAACGCAACATAGCGTACGCGTCACTTACGTGCCGACACGAGAATAAACACGGAGTTGCGCCGTGAATTTACCGAGAAGTATTACCGAAATTCCGATGAAACGTATCATGGAACAGTTTTTTTGACCGAAAATCCGAGTCTTAAATTGCTCAGCATTCCTAATTACATCTCTGAAGCACTTCACAGGCCCGTTGCCTGCAATTAATAGCAGTTGATATTTGAAACTTGACTCACGTGAAATATTTGCCTCTTTTATTCAGAGTTATATCTAAATTGAATTATATGCGACGTTTTATATTTGTAACCGTGATTTAAGTGAAAAACTCTCGTTCAACTCTGAATTAAATCTGAGTATCTCATTTGAGTATCTCATTGAGAAGAGTTTCAAAAGTAACAGCTATTAATACGAGCCTCAATTCTAGATCTAGATTCAATTTAGCATTTAAATTTGTTATTTAATTTTCGATCTATAGATTTTCTCGAAAATTTTGACAAGATCGATTAATTTTCAAGGAATCTATCGTTGGGATATTTTTCTCGGTAAATTCAGTGCTACTGCGTGAGACACTAAAATCTGGATATCTATAACATTACGCTTTACGCGTAGGCGAATCTCAAGTTATCGACTAAAATCGAAGGCGAGATCGCCGGTGGTAGATTCGGATCCACCTTAATGTGCCTGGGTGACGTTGATTACGACGGCTACGGTGATATCGCCATCGGTGCGCCGTACGAAGAGGAGAGCGGCGGCGCTGTGTACATATACAACGGGAATGTGGAGGGCGTCTTCAAGAGATACAGTCAGAGATTGATCGGTTCGGATTACTCGCCGCTGATGCGCGGATTTGGCATCTCCATTTCGGAACCCCGTGACATCAACGGCGACAAGTACCCCGACATCGCCGTGGGCGCCTATCTGTCCGAGAAAGTCGTCCTGCTGAGAACCATGCCGGTCGTCACGCTGAACGTGACGCTAGCGTACCTGCAAAAGATTAGATTGCTGAAAAACACGTCGTCCTTCGTGATCGACATGCAGGTGTATTACGAGGGCGCATACGTACCCGAGAGTCTGCGTGAGTCTATGAATATCTCTTCGATGAGAATTGTGATCGTGATTCTCGTGCTCGCGTCCTTCGTGGATTTGTTCTCGACGTTGCGTGAATATTTGAGCTTATTTCTTTATGGAAAGGAGTAATCTGAAGGAATTCAGGTCTTCTTTTTGAAGAAGTGAGCTAATATGTTCACGAAACGTCGAGAACAAATCTACGAAGAACACAGCGCTAACCCGGAAACCAAACCGAGCATTTCACGCAGAAATCATAAATATCATATCGGATATTTGACCGCACGTCGAATCTGAGCTTGTTACTGTCATTTCAGGAATCGTTAAGGTCTTGAAAATCGATCAAACGCACGGCAGAGTCTCGTATCATGAGCAGAGAAGTAACGACGGAATGTACAGGATACCAGACATTCTTTACAAGAATAGGAATTTGCGTAGTTCGCACGAGATACATTTCATGGTACGCAAATTCATACGTCTACGCGCGATGATCAGTCTATTAAATATATACTTTTACATATTTTCAGGAAGAAATACAAAACATACTAGATCCGTTCGAGATTTTCGTGTCTGTAGAGCTAGAGGACGATCTCTCCGCGAGGAACCAGAGTGACATGTTCTGTACATCTTGCGTCGTGATAAACAAATTTCGGTCGAAAACCAAGGATCTCGTGAAGTTGCCGTTTGCCGTGGAATGCGGCGAAGACGAAATATGCATGTCTGATCTCAGTGTCATGTTGACCACCGACTTGAAGTCGAACAACCGGTACGTTATCGGCTCCTCGTCGACGATCGCGTTGCACATTGACACTCGCAATCGAGGCGAGCCAGCCTACCAAGCCAAGGTGCACATCTTCATCGAGGCATTGTCGCTAGCGAATATCCCGCCCAAGTGCATGGAGAACTCGCGTACGAGCTACATCCTCCACGTGGTCTGCGATATCGGCAATCCTCTGAGAACGAATGTACGGTGATTTTGTAATTTTTGCCTAACGGAGACGGCTCGGCTACAAACTCATCACTTCGCGTTATTTTGCAGAAAAATTTAACGCTGCAGCTAGACACGAGTATGGTGACGTATGACATCAAGCAGGCAGTGATACGGGCGAACATCAGCACTCATAGCAATGAGTCGACGTCAAGTGACAACAGCCACGTCACCACCGTGCACTTCGACGTGGACATGGATGTAGCGATCGTCGGGTTGGTATACTCCGCCGCCAATCATATACTGGTTTACACACCGATCATTTGATATATGTACTAAATAGTGACTTTTTATTAAATTGTCTCAATTTCGACGATATACATGTAAACGACGGCGTACTAATATATACGGATTAAGGAGACGTATCGTACCAATATAATACACCATCATTTACACGTATCACGAAAATAAAGAAAATTCGGGACAAAATTACTAGTTGGTATATGTACTAAATGATCGGTGCAAACAAGGTTTATTGTAGGATTTGACGACTGTTAGGATTCCGTTCTTATCGTTGTTCAGGAAAGCACAGGTGAATTCGTACTCGTACTCACGCGAGAACAAGGAGATGCCACTCGAAAATGTGAAGTACCAACACTTCTACGAGATTCAGAGATTCGGCGTCAGTCCGATCGAGGAGGTCACCTTGACCATGAGGATTCCGACTCACTGGCAACACAGTACCGGGAACATCGTGATCGCCAATATCAGTAGCGTCATCAGCATCTTGGACGGATCACCATTTCATTGTGGTGATTTCAATCACAACGATGCACCGTTAATCGACGATTCTACAATCGCGTCTCTTGCACTCGTGACCAATTCGTCGTACATCGCGAGCAACAACACGCACGCAAACTTTAGCAGCGGGGAGAATACACTGATCGACGTGCCGCCCGCAAACAGAACGTTGTACGTTAACTGCACGAACAATTCGGTGCGATGCAAGCAAATCAGTTGTAAAGTAGGACCGTTCCCGAACACCTTGTCCGTCGCGAAGCTGCTGATAACGCTGGATCTGCAAGTACTGAATTTTCACGGCAAGTAAAATATATACCGTAACGTACGGCGATATATAGAAGGGTAAGATAGGATAACGTAAATGCAGTTAAACTGATTTTACCTTTATTCTCTCAAATTCGCAGCCACTTTGATGAAGGACAAAGACATCGTATTTTACGTGTCCGAAGGTAATGTTATCATAACGCAGCCGTACAATATTATCCAGAGACATGGTCATAAGCCGGATGCTGCTTTCGTTGCTACAACATTTGTAGGCACGCCGGTGGCTGAGCGAATAGCCATGTGGATATTAGCACTTTCGATAGCGCTAGGAATTATACTGCTGCTACTGCTAATCTTGGGTTTGATAAAGGTCGGGTTCTTCAATAGGAAGAAGAAAATGGAGCTCGAGGCATTGAAGGCCGAATCTGACGTATGTTTAGCATTCTCGCAATGTTCCGTAAATGAAAATTTCGATTCATTTGGTATCATCTACTGAACTGTAATTGGCATTTCAGAAAAAATATAACGTAGTGCTGGAAACGACATCTTCGACAGAAGTTTTTGACCACGATTGAATATACACGTAGGATAATCTCAACTCGACGTATTATAAGTAAGAAAAAGAAAATCCACTTAAGATATACATATAGATATATATTTTCTGATATAAATAACTGTAATAAATAATTCTCGTATATTATTTGTAATTCAAATATATATAAGGCATATATGTATCTCTTTCTGTCAAAGGCCACATTCTCATATAAAATAAAACATTTTTATAAAAATATAATAAATCTTAAAAATTATCAACTTCATTGACTGTCTACTGTATTATTTCATGGAAGGCTTCGTAAAAAGCGGAGTGTAGTCAATTTGTGTCCCGACTCTCTTACCTAAGATATGCAACAACCTTTAAAATCCTTAAAAGCACTTTTACCTCAAGCTTACTTCTATTAAAATATCAATCGTATAACATTAGACTTTAGTACACTAGTATACGAGATTCATATATATAATTCGAGAGAATTTTCTCGCAACTGTATCTCGTGCAGGCGCTGATACATAAAATCTGTTGTTGTCGAGAGACAAACAAGTGCATCGCGTTATTTCGATAAACGAGATTCATAAAGTGTATTCTGTTTTGAAGCAACAAGAGAGCAATAATATCATCACTTTGCGTGTACTTGCGGGCGGCGGCTTTCCACGTTTCTCGAGGCATTTAATCGTCCAGCCCGAGTCCCTTCGAAATTTCGTCCGCGGATAATTTATGCCCACCGGAAGCCGGTGGAGTATTCGGACGCGGGGCTGGTTTTGGAGGTGCCGGCGGTTCATAACTCGGAGGCGGTGGTCCGGGACGATATTCATCGTGAGGTTTCTATGTGAGAACAATTTGCGAAGTGTTATTAGAAAAGCCATTATATTGGGAGTACAAATAAGTCTCCGCCGTTTGACAAAAGATGGTCCCACCAGTAAGTTATGGTTGAAATTGTCAGATGTAAAACGTCATATCGTAAGGTTGGACATCTGGCTAGCGACGAACAATACTTTGAATAAAACATAAGGTACCGTTCTTTCACAATAAATGCCCAGTTTTTGATAAAAAACGGCGGAGACTTATTTGTACTGAAATAATTTTCGTATTGGATACGTATCGGATAAGTTTCCAATTTGTCACTTTAGTTGAAAGCATATCGAAGCTCTTACCTCTTTTCCACGTTTGTTCAGACCGTCCAAAGCCGAGCTAAACAAGGAGGAACCAATTGCAGATCCTATGCCCGATATGAAATCCGATCCTCCTAAACCTTGCTGGCCTTGCTGGCCACCGTAACCCCCGGACGATTGGTAACCACCGTACCCTCCTGAAGGTTGATATCCTGGTTGTTGTTGTTGTTGATGGCCACCACCGCCAAGAACACCGCCGAGTATAGATCCGATCGCTCCACCTAGGCCATCGCCGCCAGGTGGCTGGTTGGAAGCATACGCTGGCTGGTGAGACGCTCCGCTACCAGCACCACCTAATACAAAAGAATATAAAGCAGACGTCGTAAAATGAATTGCTTTCATCATGGTTATAGTATCGAGAATGTATCTTAGGTATGCGATCATCTACTATTTATCTTATCTGAGAAATACTCCCGTCCTTGACAATAATTCCAACGCGATGATGTCACTCGGCCAGTCACGCCAGCGTTTAATTACAGATTTTCTAACTTGGAAAAATTCTTGAATCACGACATGTATCTATTCGCAAAGTATTACCGACAACATCGTTTATTTAAATTTGACTGTTTTGCAGAATATACGTTCGATTATATCAGCATTTTTGAAATACAAGTTATAAATATACTGTACCCAATGCTCCAAAAATAGATCCCAATACCCCACCGCCACCTGATTCCTGGGCGGGATAGCCTTGTTGTGCGTGCGTGTTGCTGTGCAGGGCGTTGCTCGCCAGGCTGCTAGCTAAGGCCATTCCGAGAGACCCCAAGTTCCCCAAACCACCCTCGCTTTCCGTCTTTGATTTGGAAACGTCCGATTTCTCGTGGTTCTTTTCATCAGTTTCCTCTTTCTTTTTCTGCAAACGATAATAAGCATTTAAAAATTGTACTGACATATCATATATATTGCAAACGTCACAATAATTTTCGATCTGTCTTTACATTTAGCGCATGCATAGCTGCCGCCACTCCTCCAGCTGCCACTAATCCGCCTAACGCTAATCCAACTTTGTCTAAGCAGCCTCCAAAAGCATTTTCCTCCTCTGCTTTCTCATGACCAGGCTGATATCCATAGGATTTCGATGGATTATAGCTATCAGGACCACCATAGACATTGGGGGGAAGACCATATCCAGCTGGAGGAGGAGGAGGTCCGTACCCACCTTGAGGTCCCAATGTTGGATACAATCCACCTGGAGCTAGAATCAGAAAAATCAAGTTTCAGATGATTTATAAAATCAGTATACTCAGAAGGTTGACGTTTTATAAATTCAATTGCATTATATCATAAAAAATATGTAGTTCCTTACGTGGTGGCCCATAGGTAGCAGCTGATATATCTGGTGCTGTAGCAGGAGACTTTGATGTATCTAGCTGTATTTGTTCATAAGTGATTGAGTGTATCTCCACGTCACCATCAATCACTAAATGAGTAACTTTTATGAATGGCAATCGATGAGCAAATTCTGTAAAATGCTTGCCGTTTATAGCTATCTTGTAGCAATGATAATCACACAGGATCATCATCTCAAATTCCTGGCCTGGTTGTATCCACAATGGGCCAGCATTCTCTTCCATGCCCCAGTTCATCGACTCTATATGATTTCGAGTAACAAAGCCTTCAGGAAAGCGTGGAGATACATGAATAGCTATGTCGTCCCTTGGATTCAATGTTGGCCCAAGCTGATAATTGACAGCAAATCTGACAGCATCAGGAGGCACTTTACCTTGTATCTTCACCATTGTACCTGCTCTTAGGCCTCCTTCCACTGCTCCCACATATGGGATTTCCTATTACAAAATCTGACCGTAAGAGGAAATTGCACAAATACCAAACTAAATATATAATTTCTCCAAAAGAAACTCTATTTTTTTATGTATAGCATAATTTTGAATATTAATTATATTTAAGCCAATATCTTTCAAATGATACTAACGATAATAATGAATAAACAACAAAAATAGCAATAATCTGCAATAAATTCATAAATTTTAATAAATTGGAGTGTATTCAAGTATATGTTCATTGATTTAATTAACAATGATGAATATCACAGGTATAAATCTGAGCTAAAAATTTATGTAATAGTTCCCCATAATTGCCAGCAGATAATAATCCGTGACTCGGAAGAGACGCACAAACATCGGCAATGCGGATTCATTGCGGATCAATGAAAATCCTATTAATGCACATAATAATCGGCACATCGAGTACTCACCGGATTTAACACCGGAGAATTGGCCATTTTTCGTCTTCGCAATCGCCTTGGCTGTCTGACTCGATCTCGACGAGAGAGAAGTGTTGCTCAAAAAATTCTAGCTGTACACAATTGCACTGCTGCGCACATGAAAATGAACGTCTTCGTTCCCAAAGCGCTTCCAGCACTTCTATTTACAGTGCTGACGTTTCCCCGAGCATAAAGTATGCTCCACGGCACGCGATATATGCGACACGATTCGCGCAGTCGCGTACCAGGGACATGACGTAATGTCGACGTAACTAGCCCGCATTCTCGCGCCAAACGTCACACCGCGAGATTCGAATCGAGTCGTACGACTGGATGAACAATGACCAATCCTGATGAAAGATAACTAGGGGACATGTGCATCGCCGCCAATCAACGGGCGAGATATCGCGGGGATGTCGTGCACGAATTCGCCGTGCAATCGCGCCTCTTGACTCGTTACTTTGGCTGTGGTGCAGTTTGTATTCGGTGGAATATTTTTCGCGCTCTCATGGATTAAGGAAGATACGGGGTAAACGTTTTTGATGTCGTCGTGACATGGAGAATCAATGAGAATAATCGATATAAGAGGTAAAGACGTCTATTGTAGAATTTGAGGAAAAGTTTAAACAGTTTTAAGATTAAGGATTGAAAGAAATAGAGCTTGAATCTCTATATCGCGCATTCTTGAATAATTAAAAGTAAACTGTCGAATTGTATGTATGTACATTCATCGAGTGCTCGATATGAGAAATGATAAATGGTACTCGATAATAAATTATAAGTGCGTATCGTTTGTAATAGAAATAAATTTGGTTTGTCTCGCTAATAAAGTGTCTTTCGTCGGAGATCTCGACGTCGAAGCCGATCGACTTTCGTCATGGCGATCATCGTCATTTTTGTCTCTCATTCGTGCGATTTCAAGAGGCTGGATGTGAGAGAAACGCGACGGGATTTCCAGAAGTGCGGAATCTCCAGAGACGATCAAAGGTAAGGTTACACAATTAATTGGCACTTAAGTGCGGTGCAAGTGCGTGAGCCATCGCCCACGTTCATTTTCGTCTATTCACTGTTTAATACCCGGCGAAATGAAATAAACCCGGCCGGACGGGATAAAACAGTGCAGCGCTGTGAAGAGTCAGTTTTCCCGACGTGGGTAAATAAATAGACGGGCCGATGAATAACGCGCAGACGCTCCTTTGAAACAATAAAACGCGGAAGGAAAACTGTACACAACGAGCTATCTGCAGAGCAGTTCCAGCGTTTCGACGAAACGATCTCACTTCGTCGGGACGATTTCTGATCCGGAGATTTTTCGCTCGGAGATTTTTCTCTCATTTTCGACCGCGCTATTCGACACGCGAGCGCATTTCACGCGATCATTGTCAAGGGATCTACGTACAGGGTGTGTCAGAATAAAAGGTATCTGGAGCGTGGTAGGGCTGGGCGCTGGGGCGCACCCATGATAAGTAAAGTATACACCTCTCTCCAATCATCATCATCATATATTCGATTCACGCGTTGGACGCGCATCAGTGATTCGACGCTCTTCTTATGGCTATACCGATCGTGCTGTGGACTGAATTAATTGCGTAGCGTCCGACGACAATTAGAACCTTCGGGTTTCTTCGGAATGACGCGGTACTACGTGACAGAACAATTAACGTTTTCGTAACGGACGATCGACGTCCGGCGCGTCGTTGACGGATTATCGCTTATAAACGTGTCAGGAGACGAGATATGCGGGCGACCGGAAAATCAAGCGTTGAAAATCCGTTTAACCCAGAAAACCAGGGCGAGCGAAAGTTCATATTTGGAGCGTCCTTGTGGACGTCGCTGGTGGCAGGACTTTCAGGATCAATAAGGTCTTTCGTTCAGCCGACGAATTATCGAACAAAATCACCCAAACTTAAGCGAATCCTGTCGCTGGCGTGGTGGATATGCGACTGTGATACTATTTTCGTACATAATGGCGTAGAATACACTTACAATACTCGATTTTAATCGACAATCCAAAATCTTCAGATGACGTAGAGTCAATTGTTTGATTCTTTGATTGACTCGTGCAATTCAAAACTCATAAAGATGTATGTAATATTGGAAACTAGAGTCGAAATTTGAACGGCATTCGCGGCTATCCACTTTAAACTTGCCGAAGAATCTACCGTTGAAATTAAGGTCGCGTTACGAAACGTTCGGTGCATGTCGATGAATGTCACGACACTAGGAAAACATTGCAGAGTCGGAACTTTATGTATGAAAACTCGGTTAGAGACGACCTTAACCGAGCGAGAAGCAGAGAGAATCAATAGACTAAAATAATAGGAACGACACCACCAAACTGTCACCGCAACATCAATCTTCTCTTTAACGAATGTCTCTGCATCAACCTATTTCCAAATAAGTTTTGAAATTTCATCTATCGGAGTTGACAACAAACAATTGCACGCTGTGTTGAGAATTTCCGCTAGAATTTATTTTGTTCCAAGGGCAAAGAGGAGCTTCAGTATTTAAAGACATTTATTTTTCACTACTTTATGGATATTCGCTCCATCTGATTTGTGTAGAGACATTTTTTAAAATAACTTATAATAACTTACAATAACTTATAATAACTATTCTATTATAATATCTAATGGACTATTCAATTTTGCACGGTTTCATGAAATTAAATGGAACACACCGTTAACGAGACAAAGAAAGCACAGCCGCAGGAACGACGACGTTCTCGCGGCTCTCGTTTTTTTTCCTTCCTCAGGATTGGAGGCAAGGAACCTCGTCGGGATCAATAGTGTACATGAGAGGACCCTTCTTCGCCGAGCCTTCGAAGCTTCCTTACGAACTCACCTTCATAAAGCGACGCACACGCACCGCAAATCCCTGTTCCCGTAAGGGCCAGGTGTGTCGCGTAAATAATGTGCGTGCACGTGTGAATGTGCGCACACGTGTATTTCAACGCGTGTGTAATCGTCGGCAAGTACTTGTTCGCTACCTACCGTTCACTGTATTCGTAGGTAAGCACGGTCAATAGGCTGAAAGGTGCGTACACGTGTGCGTATGTCGCGACAGCTTCTGCAACAAAACGTTGATCAATACAAGATGACCTACACACTTATCTTTGTCTTTTAACGTTGGAATATTTTCTTGACGCAACTTTAAATAGGAAGTTTCACAGAAGTTAGATTGTGTACGTGATTTTTTCATCCATCTCGTAGATCTTTTTTCGATAAAAACGCACGAAGGTTTCTCCCGTGGCTTTGTTTATTTAGCGGACGTTTATTCTTGCAGACATGACGCAATAAACGTAAAAGTATCTTGCTGTGAAATAAAATCTCAATTTTCTTTTCACACATGAGAATTACAGTTCAATTCATTACAGGATTATTGGTTTTGTGCAGAAAAATTGCAGAATTAGAAACGCGACTGAGCTGCGCAAACTGCTCACTGCTCGCAGACTAAACAAGTAACTTAACGAAATAATGCTATTATCTTAAACGTTATTAATAAGATGTATAAGCAAAATACGTATCCTCCGCGCAGTGGAACGCTGCCATTAAACTCTCGTTCGCGAAACCATGTTGAATTTGCAACACAAGACGGCCAGCTTCCTCGTTTACGTTATTTCGTGCGCACAATGAGATGCGCTATTTCGGTAACACCGTACGTGCTCTCGTTCGCTTCTTTGCTGCAAATCATCCCGCGAACCTATGCTGTTAGAGTAACCTAATGGACTCCCGTAACATACGGAGACACTCAAATCTGAGTCCGTCCAATTCGCTATTTTATGACAGGCAAACAGCGTCTTGCTAACACAAGATACTATTCTGCAACAGCAGAAAGCAAACTAATAAAGAACCACATATTATCCCACGAAATAAGGTGACGCGAAAATTTTCATTACCTCCTCACCAACCGTGTCTCGCTTCTCTCTTCTCGCGTTGCTTTCAATAAAACTTCCATTATGAAGTTTATCTAATTTTATAGCGCAATAATTTTTCAATAAACTGAACTGTGACTCGTGGAAAGAAAATTAAGGTTTTGAGGAAATAAGGAGTACATTTTTCCGTTTATTGTATCGCGTATATAAAAATAACTGCTAAATTCGTGTAAAATCGTCCTTATGTCTGTTTTCCACGTACGTTTGAAATGTTAGGATTACGGAAATTGTAAGTAACTCGCGTGTCGCTGCTCCGCAAATTTTGTAAATATCCCAACACTACTTCGTGGTTACATATGCGACATCGCGAGTGCACCAACTTCTCAATGTCAGCTGTGGCGTTGTGTAGCAGAGGCGGCAGCGGTGCGGCGAGCATCCGAAGGTGGTGTGTGGTGAAGCGGCTTAAATAGTGTTTTCAGCCCTCGACCCGCAGTTCAACGCGGCCCGCAGCCTTCGACGGTCGTCTGTTCATCCGTCCGTCCGTCCGTCGGGCTTTTCCGCTGCCGCCGGCTTTTCGCGATTTTCGCGATTCGATGTGTGTCAGGTAACACGCACACGTACGTTCGCGAGCACACCTGTCCGATTTTCGCGCGCACTCCTTCGACTAGCGATTCGCGGCGAAATAAAAGGAGAAAAAATTCGAGAACAGTGCGACGAGAGTGAGTCGTGTTTGCGAGCGATCGAATTGTTGTGCGAATGGATTGTAGTTCGGATTCGTCGAGGTGCATTCGAAAAGTGATATTTCGGAGCGATGCGACGTGATTGTGAGAGTTGGGACTCTCGCTGAAAATCGCACGGTGAAATGCTGGTAAGAGACTACGAGTTCTGCTTCCTCAACGCAGCTATTTGTCACTCGAGTATCAGTAACGGTTGCTTTCACAACGGGTCAAGTGAACTTTAAAATAAATGATAACAGAAATATATGCTTTAATTCGCCGCTCTGACATACGATCGTACAATACGACAGGAATCGCGCTACTTCTCGTATCATTTTCTGATATTCAAACGACCCAGTCTAGAAAATGATAAAGGCTGTCGATTGAATAATTTGATATTATAGTTAAATATTCGACCAAGAGGTGATAATAATAATAAATTACTACTTGAAAACTTATGCCGAATCATGAGAGAGGATTAATTAATTTTGATTTTTAATTACAGTTTTTTGTTTACGATAAGAAATTGTAAGATGCCTTCAAGTACGAAGGTTTTTAGATTTTCTGTACATATTATCATGTGAATTTTATTGTGTTTACTGTCTCACCGATTTGTTTCCGAAAACTCTACGATTATCTCATGCGCTTCTAATTTTCGACACGATATTACGAAAGTAAATACGCCTTCTTTTTAATTATCATAGAGAATCGTGTGTGCAATTGACTGCTTGCAATTTCTCACACTGTGACCCATTAAAACTAGCAGGCGCCTTTTCGCGATGTACCCCTCTATCTAATCTCTGAGATATCGTGGCACTTTGAAACGTATGGCTCTTCCGTCCCGTTTCACGTTTATTATCTCTTAAGAAACGTTGGTTAACTGCGCGACGTAACTTCTAAAAGCGGGCAAAACGCGTCCTGTACTTCGTTAACGCGTCAAGTGCCCTTAATTACGTTTAACGCCATTTCGAGCACTCTCGCCGAGCACTTTCACACACGACGTAATAAAAACGGCAGCTCGGCAAACGACGATAGACAACGACAGGAAGAGACAACAACGGGATGTCACCTTGATCTCAGAGGGCAAGAAGCATTCGCGTTTCGCGCCGCCCGCCCTTAATTGGCTCTAATTAATGACCATCGTCATCAGGCCCGTGACTCATCACGCGTGCAACTCGAGTAGAATTCTAGCATTATCGCCCTTTTACGCTGTACTGCGCGCTCGTTCAGATACTCACGACACACTGTTACTGTTTACTGTTAGACATTTCAATAACGTTTTTCTCGACGACTTGAGAAATTACATCTCAGTGAAATTAAATCTACTTCCGTAAGGGAGCAATTAGTCTTTTAGATACCTTTCCGAAAGAACTGCGTGAACAAGAAAGAGAAATTAAGCTGAGATATGAATAACGAAATAATAATTTAAAAGTATAGACACAGGGTGTGCCAGACTCTCCTTCGCAATTTTAGTGAGAACGTAGAATGGATCGAGGCGAACACAAAGTCCTGTATCGCTTTGCGATACTCGCGATAAAGCGAGCGATAGATCGCAACGGCGACGACCACAGTGTTGTGGCGATCGTTCTTGCGGTGGTGTTTGTTTGGGCGATAAAATTTGCGCGGGATCGTTTCGATCGTTTCTGAATCCGCTCGGTGTTCGTTCTTGGCGTCGTAAAACATTTGTTTCGCAGTTTCGGTCTCGTGAACAGGACGACTCGTCGGCAGGAAAAAGAGAGGGTAGCGCGCCGAATTAAGTCGCGACTGACGGGGGATGAATCATCCCCCGGAATGAGGCGAATCGACCGATCGATATCAGAGACCCCTCGCACACACACTACCGGTACGTTTCCGTGCGCGGTCTTGAATATTAAAACAGTATCGATCCGCGTACCAGGAACCAGATGCAAGGATCAATTATGTGAGTTACGTGAGATGGATCGCTGAAACGCGATCGAATCGAATGTGTTACTCGCTTTAATGCATTTCTAAGTGCGACGCGATGACATCGAGCCGGAGGACCTCAGGCCCATATTAACAATTATTATTTGAAACTTGTTCTCCCCTCCCTCCACGTGAAGTACTCTCCTAGATAGTACAGAGAATGCAAAAAGGATTCAGTCGTATCCTGATCATGAGTTCATTTTTAAATTCAAAAAGAATTCTTCTCACTGAATTAAACTCTGAAGAATTCTTTTTGCATCTGAAAATGAACTCAGAATTGGTGACATACGACTGAATTGTTTTTGAATTCTCTGTTCTATCTGGGCTGATATAAACTTACAAGTGAACCTACCCAAAAGGTACATTCCAATTTCTTTCTAATTTGGCACAAATGTAGAAGTACAAAAAATATTTAGGTTATATTTTTTCATTTTGGTCCACTTTGAGTCTCACGGGCAGTTTATAGCTTTTTAATGTTCTCACTCCTATCATCAACAAGTACAACGAAAATACATAAGAAATAAAATTGAATATAAGATATAGTTAAATAATTTTTACAAAATCGGCATAGCTGAAACACGAACCATTCTAAATTTCTTTAGCCGAGATTCCAACCGAAATATTTCAAATCTGTGCTAAAATAATAAAAAATGGTTCGAATCTCAGCCTAACCGAGAAATTACTTGTATAAATAATTTTTTTTAACTCTTTACATGTTTTGTTTAAACATTTTATTATTTATATAAATAATTTTACAAATTTGACTTTATATTCATAATCAGCAAACCAAAAACGCCTATATCTTGTATTCAATTTTATTTCTTATACATTTTTGTTGCACTTGTTGAGACGAGTAAGAACGTTAAAAAACTATAAACTGTCCATGAAACTCAAAGTGGGCCAAAATGACAAAATATGACCTGAATATTTTTTATACTTCTACATTTGTGCCAAATTAGAAAGAAATCGGAGTGTAACTTTTGAGTAGGTTTACTTGTTAAAGTTGGATTTTTTATTTGAATTATAATATATGCTACACTGCACTTCCGGGGTCCAGTTCTCAACAGTGCGTGAATGAGATGCGCATGCGAAAATTTATAGTATACGTAACGTGAACTATAGGATTTTTGTACGCGCATCTCATTCGCATGACGTTGAGAATCACCACCCTGATCGCGATGCAGTTGAAAAATTCACATCTAACTCTAAAGTAACATCTGAATACCTGAGGCAAGTTTCAAGAGTGACGATTATTAATACAGACCTTAGACACCTCAAAAACGCTTCTGAATTAATCGCATTCTTACGGTCGCGTGAAACCAGCCTCGGATAAATGCACTTCATACTTAATCAGATAGACATTGATCTCGACACGTTATATAATCCCTATCATGTGGACAATATTGTCGCGCTCCGTCCTCTACGACGGTATCTTCCGTACACTTCCGGTTGCGACAGTCGTTTTATCGCACTCCCAACTGAGATTCTGGCCGTCAGAGGAGCGTATGTTGAGCTCACAATTTACTCTGTTGATCTCGTCTCAGAGTCATTTCTCTCGGGGCGCACCGTCAAAAAATAGACATATTCGGCTCTTTCGTCTAAATGCAAGCACATACTTATTGTTATCTTACAAGTACGTAATTATTATCTTATAAAATAATATTGGGACAGTTAAAAAATTCCCTTCAATTTTGTAGACAATTTAAAATCTGTTACATTCAATAAAAATTAATTGTTCCTTAGCTAAAGAAATCGCACGTTGCTGACCATTTTTCTGTACGACTATCGTAGTGGATATACCGTCGAAAATCGAACCGAGCTTTTCGGCTGATATTGTACGTACTTCACTACTGTCGCTAGTCACAGAATATCTCAAGTTGCTTCGAATTTTTTTTAACAACTCGACTTTTTACATTAAAAAAGGGCCAATAAGAATCAAGCATTACTATCCGTTTAATTTTTACTGGTCCTTTTTTAATATAATTGATTTTTAATCTCATAGCCCTCTACTATTCTCTACATCACTTTTGAACTCGATTTTTTCTAACATCCTCCCGTTTCGGCAGAGATCATTTCGTCTGAGATCAGAAGTCAACGTGAGAGTCGACGATCGGGATTGAAAAGGAAGCGGATCCTCATCGAAGATGAGAAAGGAGGCGCTAGCATGATCAACACCGGCGTGATTGGTATCCTGACGCTTTTACTGACTTTCGGTCGCTTCGAGGCGATTACTGTCGTGAACCATCATCCTGACGATGAGTATGTCCTTGAGCACGAAGTCCTTCGCGAGGATGCGCTCGCCGAAGCGAAGAAACTGGAGATATATCCCGGTAAGCTGCGCTGCAGAGTGTCGTATTTTTGTTATATTTCTATGATGAGATATATTACAGGATATTACTCTGTTGTTACAATAAAATAAATGAAATATAATAAATGTGAGAAAGCGTACACGTAACAATATGAAGAATCCAGTGACGTATTATATAATCAAGTGGATGACTAAAAAATATTCTTATGTTTTGATTGGATTTTCGCGGCGATTACAGTTGAATTTAGAAACTGAAAAATATACGAAAAGTTTATAGAAGAGTGTCTATATACGTGTGGTTATATTTTTCGCTAAATATTGTAATACGAAGCACCACACATTTCTATGTAAGATTTACGTGTGCGAGGAACACGAAAAAGACAACGTTATCGTGTTAGATGCTTATTTCGATATTCGTTATCGATATTTTTGGAGTTTGTTATTCAATTTCAGCATCTTTGTTATCCAATTTTGGCATCTTCTTAAAAGAAAATTGCGGCAAGAAAGAGTTGAAATAATAAGCGTTTCGAAATAAAAATTTTGGATTAAGCATTGTTTTCTGTACGACTATCGTAGTGGATATACCGTCGAAAGTCAAACAAACATTACACATTAACATTTTTACATTTTTACATTAAAATTACACATTAACACATTAACATTTTTACATTTTAAAATTCACATTCACATATATATACACACACACACACACACGTATAAGATAAAATACAGAAATTCCCGTAACGTGGATGCCAGATATATCACAATACGCGCGGTGACTACTTTTAGGAACTTGGAATCGATATCTCTTTAATATCGCTATCGTCGGGTATTATCCTCAATGTTCTGGATTAGGAAACATCGATGCCACACTTATCGAACAAATAGCCTTTACCATCAGAAACGAGCGCGGGAGGGGACGATCGTGCGCGTTACGACATATCCCGTGTATCTCGATCGCGTTCTTGGTGCGGGTCTTTCCAATCTAACCCAGATGCTAAAAGCGTCGCGTTAAACTGACGCTCTTGTTCGACTCCTATACGGCCGGTCTATAAAGCTTCTTTAAGGTACACACCGAAATGTATTTATCTTGCCGCCAAGAATAGCCACCCCTTTGATCCATCTAGCCAACAACGTACGATTGATGTCTCGAATTTTTGTTCTGCCAATCGCACCCTAGCCGGCATGGGCGAGAGAGGTACGCATGTTGAGAACGCACTGTTTTGGTGGCCATATATTGTCCCGGAAAATAAAAATCTTAAAATTCAGAAATTGGGACAATTTTGCGGAAAATCACAATAAAATTGAAATACCAAGAAAGATATCTTGAAAATACAAATTTTTCGAGATACAATCGTTGTGAAGGAGAAACTACTCGCTACTTCTTAGAAATAAAGTACATAAATGTACTATTCTCGGTATTCAGATTTCGATATTACGACTTTTCAGAAGATCGCATTACTTTTTAAATTTCGGGACAAGGCATGTCCATCGAGGTGTCTCCACTTACAAGTTTCCTAGTCTTCTTGCTCGTTGTTATTTCGTTATTATTATTACATATAAACGGCGCAGCTTAGCCGATCGAATCGAGAGCTCGATGCGTCACGCGTCTACCTTGGAGCGCATGAAAATCCGATTTTCCGGTCGGCTGCCGCGGCTTTTTCGATCGACTTTTCTTCGCGCCAGACGGTTTCAGCACGCTCCTTTCCACACGAACACGAAGTGGAAGTGTGCATGCAAGAATGCCCCATTGCACTTGCACGTTACATCGAGACGTTGCTTACATCGACGTTGCGACAAGCAGATACTGTCCACGTGGCTCTCATTACACGCGATTACGATAATTCCAAACGAACGAGGAAGTCGATGATTACCGCCGATAATATCGTTCACGTCGAGACTGCGAATTCTCGAGCGTGGTCGCGCTCGGTTCGGATTTCATTAATTTAATCGTCGCCTCGGTCAAATGTCACGCGAGGCACACATTATTAAGGAGTTGATCCCGTGGTATGTTGCGCATAAATGAAGGTCCCGATTATCCGAATGGCCGATAACGTAGGTAATTAGCGTTTTTAATTAAGAGAATTGCCGGTTATCGTCGCGCGTATGTTAATTTTCATTCAATAAATTAATTCCGCATGGCCCGGTCAAATGTCGTCAGCGCTAAATGACACTGCGATACACTCGCCAATTGTTGCGCGCATCCACAATGCGCCGATAAGACTTCGATAACCCGAGACTAGTCCGAGAAAGCCGGCGATTAGCGATTCACGGTCACCGCGCAGCGTATTTCCGACTGATGTGATTTAATTAACGGCTAATTTCCCCTTTGCCGCCGTGATGCATCGCGGAGGATGCAACATGTGCGTCGCTTATCGTGCGCGCCGCAGATTTAGAACGGTCTAATGAGGAGGCTCTTCCGATCGTACGCACGAAGACAAAAGTTATACAATGTTTCGCGATCGATGTTGATACGACGGTGCACCCGCTCGTATCGCGCGCGTCCGCGACACGCTTTCAGAGGGCGATTACGTAAAGCGACGAGAGAGACGCTAATTAACGTAAATTGCAAATGCGCCTTCGACGCGACTGTCATGAATTTTGATCGCCGAGCTTTCGAGGTTAATGAAATATAATTCTCGATTAATAAGGAGGCGCGTTCGCGCCTGTCTCCGGCAATTCTCGCAGAGCAGAACGTCTCGCTTGTACAGCCGATTGCGACACGGTTCGTGCGGAGAGAACGCTGAGAATGTCCAAATACGCTTGCCACCATGAAATTTCAATGTTATTTTTCGCCTATGCACACGAAAGGGTTGCGGAGACCATAATGCTCTGCAAACGATGCACCGGTCTTCCTTATTGCCGTGCGTGTTTGAGCGATGCTTTCAGTGACGCGTGGCGCAACTAAACCCTACAGGTCTCCCAGCCATAATAGTTGTTCCGCGGATCACAACAGAGAACAGCGACATATTTCTTCACTTGAGGCAACTGCATACATAAGGATGTGCTAACCGAACATTACGTATCGTAAGAATCGCGGCTGTGAGAACTGAATTGTAGCTGTGAGATGGGCATGCAACAACAGCAACTTTTAATGTCATCGTATCTATTTGACTCGAAACCACATAAGCTTTCCCTCTGACCATGGAATATGTGGATGTAGCAACCGTAGTAGTTTTCTTCATGTTCAAACACAATCAAGTTGAGAGCTCATTTCAAGTGATCAAAATTGAGAATCACCGACGGAGGTCGGTTTGTATGCGTAGTAATAATATAATAATAAATACTACAATTACCGTGCAAAAATCCATCAGTAACAACTTTTGATTTGGTAAAGTTTGAAATTCCAACTTTATCGTGTTTAAACCGACCTGTACCAAGTATAATTGTATCTTTGGTTCACTAGAGCGAAAATGATAATATAGCGGGCTGTTTCTAGCGCGATTTATGTTCTGAGCTCTCCTCTTCTTTTTGTAAGTTTCTCTTTTCCGATCTTCGATTATCCCCGCTAATCGTTTTTCATGCTTTCAGGACCTATTCCGGGATGCAAACCGTGCATCAATTCAGAGATGACTTACTGCGCGGATGGGAGCGTCATCAACGATCACTGCTGCTGCGAGGGAAGCACCAACAGTAGGTATCGCGAGCTTTACGTAAGCGGAAAGAACGAAAGATCCCAATAAAATTAAGCGTCCGTAACGGCGCTGCGTGAGAGGCCATCGGAGCGGCTCGATCCGATCTGAGGATCGGCAATAACGAGCCGCTCGAAAATAACAGCAGGAATTGGCTTAACCTTCCCGACGACGGAAGTCGCGGCGTTTGTCGTTCTCGTCCTTCGCAAGGCGTGCGGGCGTGCAGAGAAGTCGCATGAAAAACGATCCTGCCGGCGAATTCGTGCGTAAACGATCGGCCGTGACAAGCCGTGATTGTGTAACGCTTCACGGAAATTTAGAGCAACGGCAATGACAGCGCGGATCACCGTAATTTCTGCGATTTGCACAATGCCATCGCGAGTCGCGCAATTCCGCGTAACCGCAATTATTTTCAGCCGATGCGCTACGTGCCGTTACGGCTCTCCTCACTGCGCGTTCATCCTCGTGTAAACGACAGTTCGATAAACATTGATGGTCACGTTAAACAATTACTCGCAGAGATTGCACACGTAGAGGCGCATTCAAGTAAATTGTTTCAATTGTTTTCATAAGTTTGTAGATCTGCAAATCTGTCATAAGTTGAGTCACGAGCGTCAGATTTACTCAAAATACATTTCGTATCCTAGTAAGTTGGCGCTTCAATCGGGAATATTAAATTAAAGCAAAAATTCGGTTTCCTTACCGCTACTCTCTAAATCTCGCAGACTGAAATCTCCATCATCCAAAAGTCATGACATCACCGAACATTGATCGTCCTTCTCGTTGGTTGGATGCAGAAAAAGAACGTTTGATGACGTTTTCTCCAGCTGAACGGAAGGGCAGTCACCTGTTCAGGAAATCATCGCTCGTCGTAATGAGTTATCCTTGTCTTCCACACGCGCGTTAATGCTCTCTTGTCGCGCGACTTGTATCTACCAGGTGATTCACGTGTGAGCCGTTGAACGGGTCGTTTAAACATTCCGCGCGTTTCTCCAACTCCTCGTGGGACTATCGTTCATCGACCCGTCGTCGTTTACCCTTTACTCGAGTTTCTAATCAGTGCGTCTGAATGTTACTCGTGCGACGTTACAGAAGAATATATATTATATTTGTCGCAATATTCTCAACATAATTTTAGGTTTTCGCGGTGCTGTCCGATACTTTGCTTGTTCTTCGGGTTTGGACCGCGTCTTCGTTGGTTCCGACATTTCCTGAACATTTCAATTCACTTACTCAGGAAGCAGGTCTGTAATCTGTTTCAGGTCACCCTACTCTTTGAAGAAGTAAATTGAAATATTCACGAAACGTCGGAACTAAACACAAGGAAGGCGCAACCCGAAAAACCAGCAAAACATTCCCAACATAATAGTTCTTAGCGTAGTAACTCGACTGGATACACTGATGCGCACCAGTGCGTACCTAAGACCGGTATCACAGTCCGTTCTTATACTCGAGATTGTTTTAAATTCGCTACTCTGATTGCTTCGTAGCCAATGAAACGATTTATGCAGCATCTGAAGATGAACTCAAAACGCGATTTCAGACATATGAAAGAAGATTATAAATACAGCATAAATATAGGAATAAATTGTGATAGCAGCCTTTAGTGTGCCTTGATGTGTACTGACGATCGAATTCGTTTCGTGAATTAATCTGTCGTAGGATCCAGGATAGGAGAGGATAATGAGGCTCGTTCCTTATTCAAGTCCGACTCCTCAACCGAATCCTCAACCGAATCCTCGCAGTCGTTGCATTTCGCACGCGCGCGTAGATTCTCGCCGATGCACGAAGTCGCATTGCTGCACGCAGCGGCAACGCGCGCGGAATATCCGAGCGTCGCGATTCACCTTTCAGTCGCGTCCGTGAATCGTCGGTTCGTTCATCCTGCGCTCTTTTCTAATAGCTTGTGATAAATCCGATAGCGCGCCGGAAACATCCGATATCTCGTTACGTCGGATTAATCGTCGTGCCGCGTTTGAAACCGGTTAATTATCGCGATGCGCTACGTTCGACGTACTCCGCCGCGTGGACATGCTCTTAAATATTGCGATAGCTTGAAATATACGCACGACTTTTAACACGCTGGCAGCTTTACACCCCGACGAAAATGCCAACCAGACTTTTCACGATTCTCCATCACGATGTTGCACGCGAGCACCGTTAATCAATAATTAACCGGGTCTGGTATCTCTGTTCTTGTCCGGAAATTGTAATTCGCTACTTATAGCGACGCGTGATAATAGTTTCAATTTGTGACAAGCATCGAGAATGTCTAGGCTCTCCCGTGCGATATGGAAGTTTAAAATAAAACACAAATGTTCTTTTGAAATACGAAAATGATCAAAGTCATTGCCAATTAAAGTTGCAATTCGAATCAAAGGCTGTTACATTCCAAAAACTCGATAAGTATGAGCTAAAGTACCTGCGCTTTCGCCAATCGCGACTCCTCGTTTACATATTATCTGTCTATTGTTTCAGAAGTGTTCCCCTTCGTCGAGCACACCTGTCGCGTGGGACCAGAGGAATGCAAAGTGCATGCTGGAAACTGCGCGGAATACACGAGACTGCGGGAATGCTGTTGCCATTCGTATCTGGCCTCCGTCTGTAAGCGTCGAAACTCTGCCGCGAGATAGGGCAGAAAGAAGTTACATAATTACATATTCTCTCTTTATAGTCACAGCTGTATAGTTATATTACGAAGCGCGCAGCAATTACGTTACGAAATGCGATTCACGAGCAACCTCGAGACGACACACTTTTCGTAGATACACATGTTCCGATAATTTCCATACAATCGCGCGTCCGTGAAAGAGGAAAAAAAGGAAGGAAGAAACTTTATCTCTTCTCGTTTAGATTAGAAAAGCGCTCCGCTATCGAAGAAAAAAGATCTCACGAAATAATTTTGCGTAATGCTGATAAGAGCGAGTTATTTTCGTCACTCTCGCGAGAGCGAATTTTCTTCAACTGTTCCGAATTATCGAGTCTTATCGCGAGCTAGAAATATAACGCTATATTGATATTTATAAGTCACTCGGGCGTTGTATATGTAAAAGTACACGCTGACAAATCACTCGATCCGCTCCAGCTATGCCGCTCCAATTGCAAGCCCCTTATCACACGCGGAGTTGTCTTCTTTTAAAAGAGTCATTACTGTTCAATGTATGCATATAATAACATCACACGAGACAGAATTGAACAAGATATCGTTATCGTCTGTCTGCGTTATCTTGTTTATTCCCGTTTTGTGGTACAGGGTTAATTAAATTTGGCTACAATATTCTACTTTGCGCTTCCACGAACTCGACTTTGTTTTTTTTCTTTTTTGGCAAAAAGAGGCGAACTTTTGATGATCGTAACCGTCGTGTGATTTAGATAAAAATTGTTTTTATATTGTTATAAGAAACAAAGAGAGAGAGAGAGAGAGAGAGAGAGAGAGAGAGAGAGAGAGAGAGAGAGAGAGAGAGAGAGA